AGCAGGAACTCTACCCCTCTATGTTACATGGCCATTTTGATATGAAAAATAGCTATCTAAGTAAACTACAATTTTTACTGGGCTACCAGAACCAGAATTTAATGGGATCATCTTCCCTTGTAATGTGTTGAGGCTTGATTTAATGAATGATACAGGACGAGTTGGCACGTATGTACACAGCCTCCACCACCTCCAAAATCTTGTATGCTATAGAAAGAGTATGCAAAATTAATGTACAAAAGGAGGAGGAAGAAGAAGAGGAGGGGGAGAGGATGGAGGAGGAGGAGAAGGAGGAAGAGAAAGAAGAAGAGGAGAAGCAGCAGCAGCAAACTAACAATTGCCTCTGGGTGGAGAGGAAAAGATTCCTCAAGGGCTGGGAAAACCCTTGAGGTGATGGACATGTTCTCACCTGTGACTCTAGGATGTCACAGTGTCTCCAGTCAACACGTATGAGGATGTGTATCAGTTTCAATGTGTGACACTTATTACATAACAGTTATAGCTAGCTTTAAAAAAAAAACAAAACATAGCAAACAGTTTAATTCCTGAAGACCTGAGACGAAGCATTAAGGAGGGGCAGGCATATAAAAGGAACAGTGATTTCAGCATTGTTCTGTCTTTAACAGTATTCAATTCAGTTGCTTATTTCACCTAACAGTGATGGAAGGAACAGATGGACCCCAAACAGGATTCCACTTTATTTTACCAAAAATTTATTATCCTTTTCTGTACAACTAACTCATTTTTGAAAGGAAGGTATAGATAGAAATAAAATTTATGGTAACCAGGAACTTTTGTTACTTTTTTTTCTCCTACCAGTCTGGAAAATAACTAATTATATGTGTTTATAGGGAAATTTTTCACTCATGAAGAATTAATAGTGTTCAAGAGGAAAGTAAATGAAGCAGCTTCTAATACTGAATGACTGAAATTACACATAAATTCGACCCATTTCCAAATGACACAGTGCCAAACATATGTAGAGAAATGTGTTTCCACCCTTCCACTGTGTTAGGACCAGAGATCAGAGACAAATTTGTCACTCTGAAAAGGCAATGGAAGAATAGGACACCAATTCTTCCTGACCGAAGCATCTGTCAGCTGTCCGTTCCATAGAGCCGTACCTACTTAGGACACTGGGCATGTTAGTTCGTCACAGCAATTTAAAAACAGTCCATCATTTAGATCCCAGTTTAGAAGAATGAAGGCAAATCCATCCAAAACAATTTGCCACTCTCTCTTTAAAAACAGACACTGGAAACAGGTTTCACATCTCAGTAACAGACTGAGGTTCTAAAGACGACGTTACTAAAGCTAGTTTCCACTTACGAGAAAGAGGCACACAAAATACCACTTTCAAAATAAAAATTTCACAAAAGAAACTCAATTAAGATGGAATCCTGGTGTGATATGGAGTCTTTCCCCAAATCCACGGAACCTTTGGGAAACAAAGACAAAACCATAAAAACAAACCAACATTTTACTTTTAGCTCTACTGACATATTTTTCCCTCATATATTCCCCAAAAGAACATTTCTAGAGCACAAAATAGATTCATAGTGGTTTAATTAGATACATTTTTATATATCCTGAACATAACTGCTCTCATAGAAATAAACTACTATTTTGTACACAAACATTATTTACTGTGCCACATTCAGAACACACTGAGCCAAGCGCAAACGTGGAGTTCTGCTCCTACCAACACTCCATTTTCTAGGATGACAGAGAACAGTATTAGACAAGGTGGATAATTAAACCCACAAAAGAGTAGCAAAAATGTTCTTTAGTATTAAACAAAACAGGATAAACAGGTTTTCTTCCTCAGAGCTTCCCTCCCTCTCTAGGCTCCTTGGGACAGGATCTAATGACTGGCCAGTGGTCATGCAGAGACACACAAGGCCAAATGCATTGAGAGCTTGAGCATAAAAGACTCAGGAAACTGACAATTTGGAAATGTTTGTACCAAAACCCCCTTGGTCTCCCTCAGCCAGAAAAATTACATCTGGTCCCTGCTCTCACATACAACTGACATGTACCTCTAAAGGGTGTCTTCAGAAAAGTTTATTTTTTCAAATACTTGGAAATAATAATGAATAGTATTTGAAAATAATCCATGAAAAAAAAAAACAACAACAATTAAAAATAACAAAAAAATATCAGCAACACTGAAGAGTAACTTTGCACCTTGGTTAGCAGCAGTCGGCAAGAAAGTGATTGGTTTTTGGTGAGCCCCTGCAAGTGCCATTCATCAGGCCGGTCTCGCCAAAAGCCTCAGGGCAACTGCCACTCTAATGACCATCTCACCGGAGGGGTGCCAGCTTGAAAATAAAGCATGGAAAAAGAACACAGACATACCAAGGCCCCCTACACCCTTTTCAGGGAAAACAAAGCTGTAGCCCCCAAATATAAAGGTTTGTGTAAGATCCCAAGGAATACATCGCATTTCATTAAGAGAATAGGCTAAAATTCATCCTTTTGATATTTAGCCCCAATGGCTGAAATGTTATGTGACTGAAATCGCAACAGGGTTAAGTCTTACCACTTTTAACCAATAGAGGAAGGAGGCCGTTGTGCCAACACTAGCAAGTGTTCTATTGGGAGCTGAGTGAATTGGGTGTTCCAGGAGAATCTAAAGCCTAACTGCTGACTTGATGACCACAATTGGGGCATCTCAATCTCAAGACAGACTGAAAACAGAGAATATCATAAAATGTGATTGTAACTAACATGATACTTCTCTCATCTTTATCTTGAAATCCTGTTTAGAGTTTCAGGGTAGACCTAATCATCATTTGCCACTCATACTTATCATCTAACCTTCTCTCTCTGGTGGCGGCCTTATCCGTTCTTTCTCCCTCCTTCTCAGATTACCCCACCCCTGGGTGCAGTGGTGACTCCCCTGAAGGGTCCTGGGTCTTCTGCCATTTATTAAGCTGACAGATCCTATCACATTTGGATCACCTCTCCTTCCCATTCCCCACCTTGGTGTACCTTTATTCTGCAGGATTCTTTTCTTATTTAGGCCATTGTGAAGCAGTTTAGAAAAACACTAGTTAAGTACAGCTGAAACCCACTTCAAATCATACCTTAAGATTTACCACGTGGAGGAAAAACAACTTGTGTGAGGAAGTCAATAGGATTGTAATTAAGTTCTAGGTCTGATTAAAATTAGATATAACTGAAGACACACAGATTGAATGGAGAAAAATGTAGCCCACAACAAGGGGGAAGGTTTTACAATTTCGGAAAAAACAAAACACTTAAGATTTCAAACGAGAGTTCAAGAAATCAAGGAGCACGGGGAAAGGGCTGGGTAAGCCTAAAGCTTAGCTCTGGCTATGACTTGACTGGCGCCATTTATTGGGGAGTGAAGTTTCATGCTAATGAAAGCCAGCTGTGTACATGATGCATGGACTAGATGAAAGGAGGGATGAATTTTAGAATTGTGCCATCTAGTGGAAATTCTCAGTCTTCCTTCATGTTCTCGGCAGCTTTGGGGTTTATGGTGAATTAGCCATTATTAGGAATGCTTTGTTGGGGAGAAATAATACCAAAATTGATGCCTCTTAACAAAATATAAATGTCACTAACCTTGTTATCAGAGTCTAAAGTAACACTTAAATTCAGATGGTAAGAATCTAAGAATAAAACTCTAACAATAAAATATATGTAATTTTCTAATTCACTAGGAAGCCCCCTACAGAAATTTTTTTAAACATACAGGCATTTATATAGTCATGTACGTGCATAAACTTAGGAATGCCAATGCAAGCTTCCTACAAAAACTGTGTGCCTGTGGATAAGAAACAAAACCCGAAGAATTCAAACCACATCTTGCCCATCCCCACCTTTGGAATGGATAACTTTTCTTTTTTAGCCTAGGTTTTATATTTCTGCCATTAGCAAGGTAGATGATTAATATGTAACCATGTATCATATGGAATTGCTTTATTTTAAAAAAAGGAAGGTGATTTTGCATAGGATCCATTTACATAATGCAAATAAGCTTTTGTTCTCTGTGGAATCTCAACAGTGCCAAGGGGCGGGCAGGAGTCAGGGATGTGCTGTACAGGCCTGTGTACCACTCAAACAGAACGTTACGGAACTACCCAGCCCAGGCCGAAACTCCAAGTGTCCGTTACTTCCTACTGAGGTTTTTAACACTGATGACGGGGGTCCAGATTGAATACAGCTTTTGCCAAATACCAGGGCACACTGTGAGGTCAGATGGAGAATGGGTGGCTTACTCTCCGGACACAGGACAGGCATCTGGGTCGCTCTCCAGATGCAGAGATCTTCCTAGCGTATGCACCATACCTCAGCCCTCTTGCCCCTCAGATCTACCGCACCACAACCGACTCAGCAAAGGAAGCGCATTTTCCTCATGCAATCCTCTTCTACCAGCTGACTCAATGTTTTGACTGAGGAAGTGAATCATGCGGGGACTCTAGCGATCTGCCCTTCACATACACCTATGAGCGCGCATTTAAAAAACAGTTTATTGCACATCTTTGCATTTCTTAAGGCATGAACAATGTTGTAAAAATGAAGTGGGTTTCGGGAAGCGTCATGTCGATCTTGACCAGGCTGGAACAAGCCCACCACATCAAGAAACACACTTCGAGTCTGAACCAACCGACCCCAGTGGCCCAGGAGCTCCTAAGGTGGGGAGGACCCTCGAAGACTTCGGACCAAACACGGAGACTGTGTGCTGCTTTCAACACTCCTGATCGGCTTGAAGCACTGGTTACACTGTGATCTTCTTTACCAGCTTTTCCGACTGCGGATTTTATATTCTCCTTCTTTTAGTCTACTTTCCAAGGAGGGCACGGGTTTTACTTTTTATTTTATTTTTTAAGGAATATGGTTGCAGCAAAACAGAAAGGATCCAAAAGTGGTTAGGAGCCTTGTCTAATGCACTTTTGAAAATCCATTATAAAGATGAATAGAAAAGCAAATGGGAAGTTTTCAGTCGACCCAGAAACCACGCGTAGCTATAAGAAACATAATTGTGCATAGTTATTTATTCATTCGGAGTGTGGTATGTTGGCTATCTCTATGCCTCCAGTTTACCAAAGAACAGGGCTGTCTACTTTGCTAAACCCAGGGTCCTTCCGAAGCTCCCAGTAGGTGTCATTGGAAACCCAGGCTTCTCTTTGATTTGCATCAATAACTTTTCTGTGAAAATATGAAAAGCAAAGTTAGTCACAAATCACAACAAGGTCACCAGAACTGCATTCTTTCTCATATAAATGTTATGTATATTCAGTGAACTATCTGCCAATGCTTGATAAATTGTCAATTTCTAGCCAGAAATAAAGTAACCATTGTCATTAAATGACTGAAATAAAAGCGAGAAGGAAAAAGACTAGGGCAGGAACTGATTACCTCTGGGCAAGGGGGGAAAGCATGAAGGCCCAAACACAGCTCTGTAAGTCCTGTAAGGGAGAGCCACCTCCTAGGACCAGTGCAGCAGCTGCAGAAGCTGCTGTGAGGCCCATGTCTGAAGGGCACCCTGCACCCTCTGAAGAACCTGTGCTTCCACCACAGGGTGCTCATGAGATGCCAGCTCTGAGGGGAGGACGCTACCCCCTGAGCTTTTCTGTGCAGGCTCAGGAGGAGGATAGATGATGGGCTTGGAAACCACAGACTCATCTCTGTGCTGTTTAGATAATCCTTAAAATAATCCTGCAGTAATCATCTTTGATCATACCACAGTGGGGCCAAATCTGAGCAGACACAAGCTCTGTGTGACAGAAATAAAATGAAATCCTAATGAAGTCAGGGAGCCCTTCAGGGCAGAATCCCAATCACTGACTGCTTTAGGAGAGGGGACACCTTCCTGCCACTGTAAAGGGTGCAGGAAAAGGAAAATGGTGCTTGTAGCCTCACTCCGTCCCACCATCCACAGGGAGGAGAGACCCACTGAGAAGAACTGCCTGTCCTGGTTACTAACTTTTATAGGCACAAATCCTACTTAGCGTTTTCACTGTCCAATGCACAGTCACCCACATCAGCTCACATTCTCTGGACACTCTGCGACCTTCTTTTTCTCTTTACCACGAGTGCCTCATGGTCTGGGGCAACCTTTAGTAAAACATGAACTTGTGGGGATGACTGACTTACTTAAAAAATTTTGGTACATGCTCAAGGTTATTTTCCTCCATGTAGCGTCTCCGTGATCTTTGCAGTTCCTCAACTCTTTGTTTCTCTGTAGCTGCGGCTTCTAAGTTGCCTTCTTCCAAATATCTAAGCAGAATACAGTTGATATTCCAATGTTAACCTTTTTTTTTTTTTTTTTTTTCAGAAAAAAAAAATACTGGCATCAAATTACCCACTAGCTACTGAGAACATCAAATCCGACTAATGGTGCCATTGTGGACTGAATTACGACACTGAGAAACATAATGGCAAGGGGGAAGGGGGATGGTTTGGCCTTGAACCCTTCTCCCCTCTGGGCTGCAGCAACTTCAGATGTTTCTGGAGAATGGCAGTTGAGGCTAAGAACGACATGAAGTCGGAAGCCAGGTTCTTTTCTTCACAGTGGCAAGCGTGTTTGCTAAAGGCCATGGGATGCTGGCTGGAGACTGGTTGCCCTCTACTGAGAACTGATTTGAGAGGCAGGAGTTTTCCTCTTCTCCTGGGAGGCTCGGAGTGATGAAAAAGAAGGTAGACCGAAACAGAATTGAGAAGACAAAAAGAGACCCAGGGATGACTTGTAGACATTTACATCCATGGCCAAGGCGAGACGAGGCTATGTGGTAGAGAGGAGATTGCTAAAGACACACAAGACCCTGGGTTGGACCACCCCTCCCCCACCACACACATTTCAAGAACAAAGAACAGGGGCATGATACAATGTACTTGTAAAAAGTTAATGGACGAAATTAAATGTCAAGTCAGTGAGGTACAAGATTTGGGAGTAACATAAACTGCATTTTTTTTAGCACAGTATATTGAGTCATAAGTAGAACAGAATGTAGCGAAAGTCACATCAGGAACATTTCAGGAGGGAAAAACCCCACACATACACGGGAAAAAGAGAACTGATCTTGGATGGAATGCAGATGGCGTATAGAATTTTGGGGAAAATGAATTCTGTAGAGGTGGAGGCCATCATGAGCATGTAAAAAAATAGAAAAATGAGGTCAGCAGTTTGAGTACAATTCTACACCTTCTGGGACCAAGGTAAGTTGGAGGAAGCCCCATTTTCATTCCAGTCACTTCCGGGTGATCTTCAATGTAAATGACCCTCATGTGTAAAGAGGACAACAGCACAAGGAGAGGATTGATGTTGCAGTTGCCACCTGAGTTTTCAGACATCTGGTAAACATGAGGTGTGTGTGTGTGGTGGGGGGAAGGCGGGAGACTTTCTGTTAAGGTCCAGCACCACTGGCCACTGAGCAGCTTCTGTGTCCATGACCCTACAAACGTCATCTTGCCTAGAGCAGGACACTCGGGTATTTCTGAGTGAATATGGGGATGAGAGAATGCATGAAGGAGTAAAGAAACAATGGGGAAGGTATATCGGGGACACAGCAGCCACTGCTGACCTTTGATCTGGCCGGAACCGGGCATCTGTGGGAGGAAGGAGGTCCTTCAGAACAGGATCCAGCTCGTTGAGCTCCACAGCAAACCTCGTAAAGCCGTAGTAGAGCTCGTAGTTGGTTGGCAGAGAACCTGGAGAGAGGCAGAGAACAGCTGAGAGAGGGAAGGAACTGACCCCATGAGGAAAAGCATGCAGATGGACAAAACAGGCCTGTGCTCCTGACCACAGCCCCACCATTTCCTTTGGAGGAATTAAACTGATTCTATTTTTCTAGGTGAGAAAGTTCATGCTGATGGTCAGTACTAAAAGATCAGCATATTTCATTAAACTCAGCCTTTCAAGAAAACCTTGCATTACAGTGATAGTCTGCATGGGCTGAACACAGAATTATCCTCTCGAATATTCAATTAGGTAACTAAAGACCAGGCTGGTTAGCTACAAACACTAACATCTCACCAGACACACCTGCCATTTATGTCCTCATTAAAAACATGCAGATACAAATGAGTATTATCAGTATTTCTTTAAAACTATTTTTAACATTTATTTTTGTGTGTATGTGTACACCGTATGTTGGTTTCTCTTTCTTTGGCTCCGTTTTCTTTCTCTTTTCTCCCCCAAAGGCTTTGTTTTATTGTTTTTTTTTCCTTCCCTCCTTTGGTATTTTGAGACAGGGTTTCTTTGTGTAGCCCTGGCTGTCCTGGACTCCCTTTGTAGACCAGGCTGGCCTCGAACTCACAGAGATCCACCTGCCTCTACCACCTCAAGTGCTGGGATCACAGGCATTGCCACTGTGTCCAGCTGCAAAGGTTTGTTTTTATTTATATATGTGTGTCTCAGTGAAGTGTGACACATAAACCAGGCAGTGGCACACACCTTTAATCCCTGCACTCAGAAGGCAGAGGGAGGCAAATCTCTTGAGTTCAAGGCCAGGTTGGTCTACAAAGTGAGTTCCAGGACAGCCAGGGCCACACAGAGAAACCCTGCCTCAAAAAACCAAAACAACAACAAAAACAAACAAACAAGAAAGAAAGAGACATGCTATGTGTTGTCCAGTATCCCACAGAGTCCAGAAGAGAGTGTGAGAGTCCTTGAAGCTGGAGGTACAGACAGTACAAGGGGTGTGAGCCAGCCCCTGTGGTTACTGGAACTGATCCCGGAGCCTCTAAAAAAATCCAGCCTCACTGACTTCGTTTTCTACCAGGAGGGTTTTAGGGATTAAATTCAGTTTATTAGTCTTGTAAGCTAGAACTTTTACTTCCTAAGCCATCTTGTAGGCCCTTTAATTCTTTTTTAATTCCATCTTAAAATTTGTTCGTGTGTGTGTGTGTGTGTGTGTGTGTGCTTGCGAATGTGCACACCTTTCGCCTGTTGCAATCTTGCCAGCTCTAAGAGCCATCCACCCATCCATCCATCCACCCATCCATCCATCCATCCATCCATCCATCCATCCATCCATCCATCCATCCATCCAATTTCCATTCCTTCCTCTCTTTTTAATATCTCACTTTGCTGCCCATGTTAGTCCTGAACTCCTGGATTCGAGCAACTCCTCAGACCCCTAAGTACGAGGGCTGCAGGACACACCACACCCAGCAGCAAAGCATAACTTCCCTCATGCCCAGAACCTCAATCCTGCTAGGAAGTGCCCTACCACAGATTTGCACCCTCGACGCCTTACTGGTGTTTATTAGTAAATTCTAGTATTTGTTTGCTCTGCTTCCTGAAATATTTCAACCTCCTACAGCAAGGCTGATACACAGTCAGTACTCAGTAAGCACTTACTAAGAATGAGTGAGTTAACTACTGTGCCAGCAGGGAACTTAAAAACACTTACTGGTGCCCTTTAGAGAAGCAAGAACACATTTTGAAGGTTGGAGGCAACTTGACAAACTCCAGTGAAAAGAAATCTCACACAGTGGATTTTTCCCATTCAGACTTGATATTCAATTGTGGGTAATGTAGCGCCTGGCTCTGTCCATGTCTTACTAAGTATCAGCATATCACAGCTTTGTTGCTCAAGTGAAACTGATCACTGACTGATAAGTTACCGGATTTGTAGATTAGAGATGTTCTATTTCCCTTGTTTTAAACAACATGAGCAAGGGCTTGCTTATGTATTTCAATCATTTAAACTCTTTAGTACTTCTGGCATTTGCAAGCATGCATTATGTTTAAAGCAATTTTCCATGGCCAGATTTTAATGGGTCACTTTACTCCATGTCAGTGTTCGGCCTATTTTTTAATCATTAAGTATCAAATAGTGAATTTTACATATTACTTATTTGTTGAGTGCAAATGTAACTGCAAGTGCCTTGAACAGTCACGTTTCAGATGTCACTAGTAAAAGACTCCACCTACCAGGGTATTGAAGCAGTTGCTGAGACTCATAACCAAACTTTGGGCAGAGCACAGGGAATCTTACGGAAGAAGGGAGAGCTAGAAAGAGCTAGCTAGAGAGGACAGGAGCTCCACAGGGAGACCAACAGAGGAAAAAAAAAAAATCTGAGCTTAGGGCTCCTGCAGAGACTGATGAATCAACAAGGACCATGAATAGAGATAACCTAGAACCCCTGCTCAGATGTAGCCCATGGCAGCTCAGTCTCCGAGGGGGTTCCCTAGTAATGGGAACAGAGACTGTCTCTGTCATGAACACAGTGGCTGGCTCTTTGATCACCTCCCCCTGGAGGGAGCAGCCTTACCAGGCCACAGAGGAAGATGTTGCAGACAGTCCTGAGGAGACCTGCTAGGTTAGGGTCAGATGGAAGGGGAGGAGGACCTCCCCTATCAGTGGACTGGCGGGGGGGGGGTCATGAGAGGGGAAGAGGGAGGGAGGGTGGAACTGGGAGGAGATGAGGGGGGCTACAGCGCAGATACAAAGTGAATAAATTAAAAACAAATTTAAAGTTCAAAACGAAAAAAAAAAAAAAAGGAAATGCAAGTCGGCCTACATGCCACACGGTCCCCTCCCTTCTGCTGCCCACAGTGTCCTGACCAGGAAGCTCAGGGGTCTCACCTGGCCTCCAGATGCACTTCGCAGAGGGGGGCACCCCGCAGTAGAGCCCCTCGTGCCACTTCCCAAACAGCCGGTGCACCACCTTCCCCTCCTGATCGATCACCACACCCTGGACTTCGTTCACATTGGAGTTCCAGTAGTTCACCTGGAAAACAAGCAACCCCAAGCCCTGCAGCCACGCCAGCCTGTGCTTGCCACATGCAAAATGTTCTTTCCCTTGGAATGCAGCTCAGCACAGTGGACACAGACGGAAGGTTCCCCTTCTTGTTCTCTACCTCGATAGGATCTCACCGATGTAGCTTAAGCTAGCCTGGAACTTCCTTTGTAGCCTAGGCTGGCACAAAACTCACAATTCTAGCTCACAGGCAAGTGCTGGGATTAGAGGTGCGCTAGTAACTGTTTAGGTTAATTTCTCTGAAGTGGGTGGTCTCGGGGCTAGAGTTGCAGCTCTGAGCACTGGCTTACCATGGGCAAGGCCACGGGATGCATTCCCAGCACTGTAAAAAAACAACCCCAAACCCTTCTCCATCCCCAACATGTCAGCACGCCCTTCTCCAGCCCAGTTAAGTTGTTAGCTGAAGCACCCATTATTAACTCATAGGTTAGTGACTTTCTCTTCAGGTTCCCTTCCTTTGCTCATGGATCTTACTGTATTTCAACTGCACACGATATCAAAATAATTGGCAAATCCTGTAATATACTTAAACAAGCATGGACATGGGGTTGTATATTCTAACTCAGATCAGTGTTCCTGGGGAAATGGTGTTTGCTGGACATTTCTGTCCCTAACCCTTTTTCTAGTTGATAAAGGTAATGCTTTCTTTTGGCTCCATTTGGATTGCTTCAGACATGGTTTGTAATGACTGGCAGCTATCATCTGCATGGCTCTATTCAAGTATTTTCCGGGCCTGACAGCTGTATTAGAATGAGCTCCCTAATATAAGAGCACACAAATATATTTATGTCATAATCAGGCAGTAACAGAAACCAGAGGAGTCAGTATAGAAATGAAATGTGTTCTAAAATTTTACTCAGTGTACTGGCTGGCTCTGCAAAAACAAGATTCTTTAATAAAACAAACATTTCTTCTTAGATGTGATGTTTTTGACATCCGCAAATTCAGAAGTTTGTATTTCTCAAGCGGTTCTGTAGGCCAACTGTGCTTTCTTGTTCAAGATCTGCAGGGCAGATCTCCCTGGGCTCCTTAGGAAGCAGGCCTGTCTGATCCCCCCTTTTCTCCTCCGCGGCGCTATTTACCTTGACAAATGTGAGCTTGCAGATGCAAACGCTGCTTTTGGTATTTCTAATGGTCACTTCGCCGTAATGCTCGATCCATCTTCTGCCGCTGAGGATGTTGTGTATGCACGTGGTGACCTTATTCCACACGTAGTAATCCCCGTATCTACGAGGAATACAGCACCGATCAAAGGCAACGGACACAGACATGTTACTGCTCACACAGATGGGAAGATTCTCCGGGTACAACTTCTTACCCCTTCACTTCCTCGTTTCTTGAACACTTCTGTGTAGTCGTAAATATGCAGGACATGAAGAAGTGTCTCTACAACCTAAAGCTGCTAAGTGCAACAATGTCACTTTTCTGCCCCTCTGGGGCTGAGGTACAGTGACATGCAAGCAATTACTAAAAGAGTCAAGTATCATGAAGGTTACTATTTACCGGAGAACAAAGCATGAGAACAGATGAGGGGTTCACTCCCTAGAGTTCTGGAACCTGGAGTGATTATCAAGCGAGCCACAGCAGATGAGGCTGATTCTGTAGGTTTGGGGTGGGGAGGTGGGCACTGTGTATGGGGAAGGGTATAAGGCACAGGGGCCAGAAGAACATGGTATCTGGTGTCCAGTGGGGAGCTCCAGGTCACGAGGAGGCCAGGGAAGGCAGGTAATGAGCCACCCAAGGGTCTACAGTTACAGGCAGGCAGTGCGCATCTGTGGAAGGATTGCTGGGAAGAAGCAGCTTAATCAAATACTTCCGAAACGATCACTCTCAGAGTGTTCTCATACTACACTGTCATAATAAAAGCTAAGAAGAAAGATGGAGTCATTCTTTAGGAAAAAGATAAGGCGAACAAGCATATCTATGGCATGAATCCAATGCAGATTGTGGGGAAAGATGTATAGAACTTCTGCCAGGAATGAAACGGCACGGCCACAAATCAGATAAGTTTGTGCACTAAGTATATTTTAAAGTAAAATTATATTTCATGATGAAATAAAGTGCTTCTAAGGTCTAACTGGTGTGAAACAGGTATTACAGACACCTAGAAATACTATTCTTCATGAATTTTCACTTACTGCAAACTTGTTTTTTTTTTTTTAATTCACTTTACATCCTTGTCATAGACCCATCTCTTCTCCTTTCCCAGTCCCTCCTTTTCTCTCCATATCCCCCTCTTCCCTCCCCTTTCCCATCCACTCCAACTCATCAAGTTGCATCAGGACTGAGCATGTCCTCTTCCCCTGTGGCCTGGCAAGGCAGTCCTACCAGGGGGAAGTGATCAAAAAGCTGGCAAGTGAGTCCATGTCCAAGGCAGTCCTCCCTCCCCTTACTAGAAGACCCACATGAGGCCTAAGCTGTCCATCTGCTACATCTTTGTAGGGGGCCTAGGTCCAGTTCATACATGGTCCTTGGTTGATGCTTCAGTCTCAGCAAGCCCCTCTGGGCCATGTTTAGTTGGCCCTGTTGGTCTTCTTGTGGAGCTCCTGTCACTTCCAGGTCCTTTTCTCTCTCCTCCCACTTTTCTACAAGACTCCCTATGCATCACCCAATGCTTCAATGTTTGGCTGTGAGTCTCAGCATCTGTTCTGAGGCACTGCCGGGGAGAGCCCCTCAGAGGACAACTCTGATAGGACCCCGTCTGCAAGCTTAGCAGAGTATTGTTCACAGTGTCAGGGGTTGGGCCAGGCATTGCTCACCTTCTTCCATGTTCAATTCATCAGCACTCGGTGCTTGCTCGCAGGCCTGGGCGTGAATGCAGGTGTGTGGCTTTTGTGTGTGGCAGGCAGAGGACTACGTCAGGTGTTGGTCTTTGCCTTCCACTTAGAGACAGGGTCATGCTGTGGACTCTCGGCTGTACACTGCAGGCCAGCTGGCCTGAGAGGCTCTGAGGGTCCTCCTGTCTCCGCCTCCCATCTTCCCACAGCAGGACTAAGCTCACAGACACTCATGCTACGTGTATCCAGATTTTACAGGGCTTCTGGGGATTTGAACTCAGGTCCTCATGTCTGTGCAGTGCTCCCCACCCTAGCACAGCCTACCATGCAAATTGATAAAAACCCACATCAACCAAACAAGCAAAAAACAACAAATTCATATCTTTGTTCTCAATACAAATAACAATTAATATAAAAATATTGTATGGCTTATGTCTTCTAAACCTTTTTTTTTTTTGTACTTAAAAAAAGATTTATTTATTATTTATATAGTATTCTGTCTGTCTGTATGCCTGCAGGCCAGAAGAGGGCACCAGATCTCATTATAGATGGCTATGAGCTACCATGCTGTTGCTGGGAATTGAACTTAGGACCTTTGGAAGAACAGCCAATGCTTATAACCTCCCAGCCATCTATCAAGCCCTTTTAAACCTTTTATTATAGATTACAACTATAAAAGGATTCCATTGTTGGGCTTTGATAAATAACTCAGAAACTTAAAATAGGTCTTTTATCTATGAAAGATAGATATAAAGTGAAATTGTAAGTAGTATAGAAAAGAAATGCATAGATGGAGAGCTTGCTAACAAAAACAGATTAACATGTTGGAACATGGCAGGTGGCTGCTCTGCGCTGATCAAAGGAGGGAGGTCAGGTGAGATGCAAGAAGCAGTGGTTCATGTGCAAAGCTTCTGTGTTTTTGTAGGCGTCCATACTGGACTTGGGCTGAAGGCCGCAGAGACTCTGGGCGAGGGAGATGGACCCTCGGAAGCTTCCCGCACACCACTGGGACTGCAAGAGCAGCTAGGAAGCCTGAGAGAAGAGAGCAACCTACTTTGGAAGCGTGACATTCAGGGTCCCAACAGGCAGGATCTCCATCGACTTCCCCCAGAACTTATTCTTCCATCTGATATCTAAATGAGATAGAGGGAGGACAAAAATTCAACGCTCCACGTCCAGTAAGTTCTGTAGACACTGATACTGGTATTATATTTTACAAAGCTTTCTTTCTTTCTTTTTTTTTTTTCCCAATTACAATTGATTCTATACTGGGCATTAAACATCACAAGGACCTGAAGATCCCTGTGAAAAAGCTAAGGTGAAAATAGTGATCATTCCCAGATTCGTTATTTGATTCTCCATAGTCATGCTCCATGCTTGCTTCCATTTAACAAAACCAATTCCAGAAGCCTGGAATAAAATATGTGCACGTGGGAGGTACTCACATAGCAAATGAACCCAGACCCTAAGGTGCTTTAGTCCCCAGAAGATAAGAAACGCTGTTTCGACTAAATGGTAAAAATAGTCATCATATATAAGCATCAAGCCTGAAGTATATGTAAAAATAACTGCAGTATGGTAATACCACTGACCTCGAACACATCTCTCCCTCTACGTAGGAGTTATCTGTCTCGGGAGAACAGCAAAAGATAAAAACGTAAACTTAAAAAAAATGGGTTTTTTTCGTTTTTTACATTCAGATGGAGAAGATTTATGGGCCTGCAGGATGGACTTAATGAGCATGTCTCTACAGTGCCCGAGGCCCCCCACTTCCTTTATGTGGTGGCTTATGTTTTCCACACAGAGACTCAGCCCTACCTGCAAATCTGTAATAAGCACCTGGTCTGCCTGGATAAATTAACAAAGATCAGGGCTGTCTTCATGAAGCTCCTGACTCTTGGTTTTAACCAAGAATTAATTTACTTTCTTTACTCTGCCACAGAGTACAACTGCAGTACTCTGGCACTGTGTGCTCTCAAGTTAAGGCAACGCTTCCTGTGGGCAATGAAGCAACTCCCGCAGACACAGAACCATTTTACACTTCACAGTCAAATCAGCAAATAAGTTCTTTTTTCTTAAAGGCCTTTGAAACTTTATTTTAGATAAGACTGAAAAATTGTACCGCATCAACGGGACTTAATTAGGACAGTCTTCATTTCAAAGCCCAAGCTCCGAAGGGTCAAGAGACCATGAACTCCTTTCAGAGTTTAAACTGTCCAGAACATCTAGATGCTATACTACAATTTTCAGATGCTCAAGTTCCTTATATAGAAGTGCAAGATATTAGCATATAGAAGGCGCATTGCACTCACATACTTGAAATTATCTTTGGATTACCTGTAAGAACTAAGACAACATCAATCCTATGTAAATGGCTGTTATTGTCACATTTCTTGGGGAATGAAAGAAAACTATTGTGTACATGTTCAGTGTAGACAGTTTTTCTGAGTGTTGTTCATCTAGGCTGGTACACACGCTTGTGGGCATGTTGTGTTGACCAGATGTCTAGACAGATGTGCCAGTGAACATTCCTTTGGGACTAAAATCTTGACACATACTTTAAGAAGCATGAGGGCAACAGACATCAGTGCCGTGGTACCAAGGCCCATAAGGCACCAGGAGACCAGGTGACACTCTAGGCTGCACGGGCAGCGTGGGGCTCGGACGTGTGACAGGCAACATACAAACTCCATGGGCTCAGCGTCTCACTTCCGAGACAACACAGCTTCACAGTAAACTGGAAAATGTAATTTCTCAAGCTGATCCTTACCAACGTTCATTCACAGTCTCTGAGTTCTCAAGGCAGAAATAAAAATAAGTACAGTGTGCTTTCAGTAGCTAGAAACTTTCCACAGGCTTATACATTTCACTTCCAATTGTAATCAAAATACAAACCTTGCCAAAACACAAAGTTCTTTGATTCACAGTGACAGGCTGATATGGGTGGATGATGGCTAACCTGGTAATTAAAAACAAAAAAAAAAAAAAGGCAATCATGGGAATATTCCAACTTCTATAAATGATTTTTTTGTTTGTTCATTTGTTTTGTTTTGTTTGAGGCAGGTAGCTTGGACTGGCTTCAAACTCACTGCATAACTAAGATTGGCCTAGACCCTGATCCTGCTGCCTCCATCCATGCACTGGGATTACAGGCATGTACTACCATTCCTCCATCATCAATGATTTTTTAAGAAAATAAAATAATTCCTCTCTGAACAAAACTAGAGTACCAGTTCTAATAGTAAATTCATCTCAAAATCTTAAGTCATTAATATCACGCTTAAACACAGAGAACTTATACTGGCTTAGAGTGGGCAAAGATGCAGTTAAATTACGTAAGTTTTCTGTTGGCTGGTAAGACAGCCCGTCCCATAGTTATCAAGGCTTTTCTCGTCACCAAGCTGCCCTCTTACCTTGGACAGCAACCTCACTTACTTGTTCTGAGAAGAACCGAAACCCCTTATCTTCTCTGATGCATTCATAGGTCTCCCCCAGGACCGGATTGAATGGCTTGCTTCCTGCTCTGAAGTAGGTGGAGCAATACCCTGAGACTGCGAACGCAGCAACGAGAACCTGTGAGGACATCAGGAAAGGAGCACAATATAGGAGAGACCACTTCAGGTCCATTTGTCGCTGTTCCTATACCCTGGGCACACTCCATGTTGAGGGGAACTGATTTGACACCATTTGTGTTTTCAATTATTTGAATCTTCATCAATACACAGAAAGGAATAAGTTAAACTACTCTTATGAAACAGCAAGGGAAATGAAGTCAAGTGCTCTTCATGTGTTCACCCAATTTCTTGAATAATGTAAGAGTCCAAAGGGAGTCGGTTTGTAAGCCATGTTACTCTTAGCCCCACTGGCAGGCAGGTGTGGCTTCTGGTGCTGGCTAGAGCACAGGTCAAGTCTTCCAGCCTATGGAGCAGAGGACGAAGTACCCACAGCAAGTTGCTTTCTTAGAACTGTGCTCCTGAGCAGATGGGCTCTCCTGGCACTCAAGACTAGCTGACACAGCAATGCCCAGCATGCGTTAACCTCCAAGGAGCAGGGTATCTTTGACAAACTTTAGGGAACATTCTAGGCCAGCAGGTGTACCCAACCTGCAGCTCAAGATCAACAAGCACCTCAGGAGAGCTATGAATGAGGCCCAACATATTTTTGTAAATTGACTCCATATGGCAATGCCAAGGGCCGAGCACCGCAGAACAGGCTACAAGAAATTCACATGTGTAGCTTCCTGTAATAGTATCCAGAATGTTCTGGCCTTGCTTGGTTATACACACAGACCAAGTCTTCTCCAATGCCTTAGCAGTGGGAATGTTACATAAACAGCAAAGCTGTGTACAAGGTGGCCGTGGCCCCGCCCTTCATTACCATCCTCTCGTAGGGGTCGTCCGTCTCTGAGGCCTTGTCCAGGAGCTCGCTGTACTCCATCTCCTCACAGAGGTGCTGCAGCGTGTTGAGTGGCTCGTTGAGCTCCACCGGCATGGAGACCTTCGACAGGTCCTTGCCAATGTTGTTTCTCAAGATGTTCCACAGGTTGATGTTACTGGTGTCAGGGCAAGGGGCGGGCAGGCACGTGCGGCGGCCATTGCGGAAGGCGCCTCCTGTGAGCTCCCCATTCAGGACTGGGAGAGGAGGAAGCACAGTGAGGGACGCTGCCCCTTCTTGGTCTCATAAAATCAGAGTGGAAAAGAGACCTCTCTCATAGAATTCTGACTGCAATACATCTAACCCCTGCATCCTTAACACATAGGATCACTTCTAGATGAAGTTGAGAACAAATGCCCAAAACATCAGAGTAGGACTTTGAGGAGTTTTAAATATACTCAAATATTATTTAAGAAAGAGAAGTCAAGTGTGTCTGTGTGCGTGGGTGCCCACATATTTTAATAAGTGAGATCTGACATTTGGGTCTGAACCTTCTTTACTTAGCCACATACCCAACAGATTTTACAATCCTACACCTTGACAGATTATGCAAAAGACAGGCTATGACGAACTAACTGAGTAAGTGGTGAGAGGAAGAAGGGACGGCTGGCTATTAATTCGCCTGGGTTGTAACTTGGCATGTGGACAGAACAGCCCGGACACTCAAATGATGCATACTTTGCCGAGAAATATTGTCCGCAACACTGGTGTTGTCTTCTGAGATGTTATCGCTCACATCACTGATGTAGGACTCGTCATCAGAAGCCTGGGGAGGAAGGAGGGACGGAGAGTGGTGAGAGTGTTTCTTAGGACCCTTGCCTGGAAAGCGCAGCTCACGAAGAAGTTAAACAGATGTCTCAGCCAAAGATATACTTGGCCTATGCTCAAGGAACACCTGAGTGTCTTCTCCAGGATGCTGGAGAGGAACGGCTGTTTTGAGATAGCCCCTTAGGCTGGTCTCTGTGAATTCGAGACCAGCCTTCAAGCAGAGGAGAGGGACACACCTGGGAGCCTCACCTCATTCTCTGATGAACTTGCTGACAAAAGCACCTCTTGAGCATCGAAGAACTCTGAGACGGACTCAGACATGGAGAGGCGGCTCTCATTGGCCACCTGCTGTGACAGAGGGAGGTTGACGTGGATCTGCTCGCCAGGCTACCGGAGAGAGGGGCAGACAACAGAATCATGTTCTCCCTCCTGTTAGCACCGCCGTTCCTCCAAATTAATCAGGTTTCTAGAGAATCCTGAACTTTCTGTTAACACCAGTGACAGAGTTTTGCTTGATACCATGTACAGTTCTGTCTACTGTGTCTAGAAACTCCGAGAGGCAGGGCTGAAAGGCGGTGATGTCACAGCTTGATTTCACGTGTTTGCCCAACTGATAACAAATGGAATTTAACAGGCAAAACCTCTATTTAAACATGAAAAGAATGTAGTCTTAGGCCTGTCATTATTAGTCATGGTCTAAGCAGTAAATTAAGCCTCAGGAAGTATTTACAGAAACTTCTAGAGACAGATAAGCAGATAATGAATGAGACTATTCCCTAAGATAGGATATATATAATCCAATTTCCAATTAAATTGTAAATTTTAAACCAAAGAAACATGTCTAGACTACTGAATGCCATTTCAAGTAAAATATTGTTTTTATATTCTAAGGTACAAACTATTCAGAAAAAAATTAAGAATATACTGTATAATCTAATTCACTTTTCACTTAAGAATTACTAAGTAATTTTTAAATTACATGTATTTACTGGGGTACATACGGGGCACACTCACACGTGTGCTTGTGAGGAGGGCCAAAGGACAGCGTGCAGAAGCTGCTCTCCCTGTGACCCCCTGGGACCGAGCTCAGCTGGCAAGGGCTTGACTTGCTGAGTCACCTTGCTGGTTCTAAACACTTTTAAGTGATACATTTTAGAAATATTTCTAGATTCTGAGCAAGTGAGTAGATCTAAATGTGATCAGAGTTCATGGGACCCAAAGGATGAATGGGAAGAGATGGGCAACTTAAACCTTGGGATACTTCAAGTAAAATCTGTAGTAACATACATGGCTTTTGTGCAAATATGACCTTAGTATTAGTTTAAACTTTCATTTTGTTAGATGCATTGCTATCTATAAAGCTTTAGTTTCTCATTGCCCTAACAGTAATTTTACAAAAGCCTATACAATACATTTTAGCTACAATCTTAATGTTTTTTTTTTTTTTTTAATTTTCACGCTATTTCTTCAATATCTATAAAAAATAGTTCTATAATAGGTTGTGCACAATGTGAACTGGTTAGCACAGTGCCCAGCACACAGGGAACACTCATTCAACACCCGTTAGCTATAGCCAAGGCCTCTGTTAGCCAGACAAGCAGCCTACCACTGAGCTACACTTCTGGGCCCTGTCGGCTTCTGACTGTCCGAGTCATCCGGACGGGCTCTGGCAGCACACCTGGTTTTGTTTTAGTGAGAGCAGGTAGCTGTTCTCCCTAGATAACTGCTTTCCGAGAAACCTTTAAGCGATTTTTATTTTGTGATGTCTCAGCTAAATTTTTTTCAACGTTTCATTAGACATGTGGTGATAATGAGCATGCTAAATAAAGAATGAGACAGATGCAGAAAATTAACAAGCTGGAAGAGATCTATAAATTAAATATTTGGTGACATCAGGTGAAATAAATGAAAAGAGACATCGATCACCAAGAATAAATGATGTCAAATTCACCTACATCTTTTACTTCAAAGACTACGAAGCTGTCTGTGACACAAATATTTATGGAGAAAATGTGATTAACAGAAAACAACTGTTTAAAATAGACACAGATATGCAGTGACTTAGATGCTGTAAAAGAGGTGTTCTACTTCCACTAGTAACGCGCCTTACCTCATCAGGGCTAGGGATAATATTAACACTGACAACCTGATCACAGATGATAGACTCTGAGTGGATTCTGTTCAGCCGACTCCTGAGCTCAGCATTCTGGTTGAGTGCCTTAAAGTAACAGAAACTGCAATTATAACTGCAGGTTAATAAGCAAAGTGTTACCAGCAAATACAAAGACAGCTTGAGACAACAAATTCTGAGATGCTCATTGCTCTGACTCTGGAAGTCTTACCCTGTGCTGGACCATATCAGTTAAGAAGAAAATAAATGCCTTGGAGTTATGACGTTAATTTTTGTGATATAAGACCACTACTTAAGTAGGTTAGTGAACTGAAATATCTAATGGGCTTCATAAAAATGATACATGGATCTCCCTCGTCCTTAGAGGCAGAACCATCACATCCAAGGCCAGGCTACTACCACATACGTATTACCTTGTGCAGTCTGGGATAAAAGCTATTGATTCTTTCATATTTTTGTTTTGTTCTACTCTCTAAAGTTCAGGATTCATTTCAAAGACAGGCCATCATCTCAAAAACAGAGTTCAGAAAATTATTAGACTGGCTTTAGTACACAGAATTATCTTTCAGTTTGATGAAGGAAAATGGCTGTTTTTATTTCTTCAGGAGCTCATAATTAATCCTCTTCTCAGTACAGTGGAACTAGCAAAAGCAGTTAAAAGGTGCTTTTGCACCTTTCTGGACATGGACAACAGTAAGAGGAACATAAGCCCAATGGCAAACCAAGTCAGAGTTCCAGTCCATCACAGTATTTGGAGCACACCAGAAATTAGCATCCATAAAACTCCATTTACACAGTCTAGCACATGCAGCAACTACATTTGGTACAAGAACAGACCAGCGTCACGTAAACGTGCCTCTTATAGGGCCCCTGTGCCTACGGGACACAAGGAGCCTACGGCACTTGACACGGGTGCGTGGGAATGCGGTCCATTTCTGTGTCAGGATTCAGCTCACTGGAATGTTATCAAGCTTCAGGTAGAATGCCTGTGTGAGGGCAAGGCCTGTGCAAGTCTGGCAATCTCCCATTTTAAGAGCAGACAGTATATGCCAGGGCTTACCAAAGGGCACCTGCCAGCTTTCATTTAGAGCCTCCTGAGCTAGTCTGTATGAGATGTTAAGCAACACACTGGATCTGGTATGACAAGGACAGGTGGACTGAGGAGGGTACTAACCCACCCCAGCATTACACACTAATTCAACGGCAAGGAGAGGAGGAAATATGTCTGGCTATCTAGGAAACCACGGGCATCTGAGGAAAGAGATGTGTGTAAATAAACTATGGGCCTCAAAGGAAGAATTCTAATGTCTTGCCATCTGGTAAAAGTGCTCAGATAATTCTCTTGGAAGTATTTATCCATTTATGTATATGAGTGCTCTATCTGCATGTACACCTGCATGATAGAGGAGGGCATCAGAGAGATGTGAGCCACCCGTGTGGTTGCTGGGAATTGAACTCAGGTCTTCTGGAAGAGCAGCCAGTGCTCTTCATCACTGAGACATCTCTCCAGTCCCCTTAGGTCATTTTTAATAGAAGCAAAATCTCACTTAAAAATTTCAAGAAAAGAAAAAAAAATGCTTCACTCCCATCCTTTGTGGCTGGCTTACTTGCTCTTTTGGTTATTCTCTCGGCCCGTAAGTATACATAGTTACTGAAATACTCGGGTCAAACCTACTTTGCCACACATAAGTGGGAGGGCTTTGGTGGAGCGTCTGGTGCAGTCCTGACCTGAGGGTTCCACACAGATCTCAACCACCTGTTCTTTTTATAACGGCCACACCTGCTGCCAATGTGCTCATGAGTCAACAACCTCCATGAAACCAAAGGTGAGCAATGCTCTTCCTCACGGAGGAAATCCCCATTTACAAGGAAAGCTGCACAACTGCTCACGCTCGGTACTTAAAAACATTAAGACCTCACTTAAACCCCGCCTTAGCCAAGTCCCATGAAATGTGACCGAGCCTACAGACACGTGGAAGGATGTACAGGAAAACCGTAAGAATATCAGTAGAAAATGAGCTAAGAGTTTTCTCTCGCTTTAGTGTGAAGATAATCGCTCTCTCCCTTTTTGGCATATAACGGGGGAAATTGTGGGAAGATGAGGTTTTCTTGATTTTAAGGCTAAGTGGGTAAGATAATAACTCCGGACCTGAGGGTCCTCTGGGATTTACATTTGGAGTGTAGGAACTTCCCATACTTCTAATAGATGGCCTGAGATGCCTGGCTGCCTAACAGGAAAATGGCCATGGTGGTTGCCCACCATGTGTGGCTCATTTGCACATCCACTGGGATGGTCTGGAGAGAGATGTTTTTAACCCACATCTCTCATTTTCTTAGAGCTAAGCCCCTGGTTTTTCCTCAATTGGATGGCAAGCTGCTATCAGGCCAACAAAAGGGAAATATTAAGTGCGTTTCTTACTGAGATGAAAAATAACAAAGGTCAGTAATTCTGGTTTTTTTTTTTTTTAAGTTTTTCAAACTTCAAAAGTAAATTTTCTGAAATTATTGCTCATACTTAAAATCAAGGATCTGTGCTAATTTACATGGTGAATAATTGCAGTTGCTTGCTAATATGTTGACACTGTGCCAAAGAAAACAAGCTTGGATTCTACTATTAAACATAGCACAATGCATTTTACTAGTCCAAAACTTCAAAGTTGTAACAAACCTAGAAGACTAAACCCTACTTCTACTTCAAATAGACATCACCTACTTCAGAGCAAATGTTGGAAAGAAATAACTTCTTTGGTAATACATATACAGTGGTAGATACAGGCCGTATTATATGACACAAAGAAATTAGGAATAAGTCACTCCAACTTAGGCTAAAGCTCAAGCTGGCAACCAGACATGCATCAGCCCATTTTAGCAGTTTTCCTCAGGCTGGCTCCTCCTTTGGTCTTGATCATCAGTCTGCTCGTGAAATTCACTGCGGCCAAGAGCATGAAAGCTGGGCACAGTGTTCCCAGGCCCAGGCCAGTACCACATTTTCTAGTGGTATCATGGAAACAGAAAATTCTGAAGAATAGAGGTATGACAAGAAAGAGCAATGACAACTAGGGTGATAACAGATTCCAGAAGATGTTAAAACTATAATGTAGGGAGTGTGGTCAAGGAGAGTTGGCAGGGACAAAGCAAGGAGAAAGGAGGCAGGTGCCAGCCACGGGTGCCAGCCACTGAGCCAAAGACACTATGGAGGCCTGCCTGGAGGAGCTCTGTTCTGTACAGAGGAGTCAAGGCCAACAGGGAGCTGGCACTGTGCTGTGCCGACAGTTCTGCCCTGAGTGTCCGCACATGGATCATCTGTACGTCTTGGTGAGCCGGGAGTGTGTAGAATACCCCACAATGAATGCCCATCCCCCTTCTCCTGTCCTCACATGTCCCAATGTCTAACACATTAAAAAAAAAAAAAAAAAAGCAGTTCCTTCTTGCTCTATTCAAAAAGTTACTATTTGAAGTTCTGAGCCATAATCAATCCTTAAGTCCCAACTTCTTCATAGACAAAAGACAAAAATTTACCTCTGACTCAAGGAGACACTGTCAAAGTCATTTTATTAAGTGGAATTGTGGGTTCTGGGAAGGATTAATAAGGAGAAAGATTAATAAGAATTTTCATATAATAAAAACCCTTTGGCTATAGGTAAAGCTGGCTCAAAAGAAGTGAGAAAATTAAAGTAAAACCCATCAAAACCCAAATTCTGGGCAAATATCCTTGTTTTTTTTCAATAAAGAATAATGTTATCTTTAGGAAATTAAAAAGAGAATACAGTATTTTTTAAAGCCAGTGTGTCAGTCTTCCTGTTTCCTCCCGTGTGCTTTTTCAGAATTGTTTTCACTCTGCATCTACACTTTATCCTCTGGTCATGAGTTTTACATGCTTCACACTCTTTATGCACATGACTTAGTTGCACAACAGGCAATGCTATTTCCTATTATTGAATACCTAGGTAGTTACTAAGTTTTACTACAATAAATACCACTGTGGGATCAGCACAGACCTACAGAGACAACAGGTTATAACTGAAACTTGATATATACTAAAAACTTATATATACTAAAATCAAGTAAAACTTGATTTTACTAAAAAATTGTAAAACCTATGAAAAACATCCTCACACAGCCCAAATTTTCCGGAGTCCCAGGGAACTGTAGAATTCAGGAACAAATAAATACACTTGGGATTTTTCTCCCATTACAAAATATTTACTTGAGGCATGTGTAATGCGCGAAGAATGACAGCTGCTACAGCTGGGATTTTAAATTACGCCATTACGTGCTCTGAGCCAACCTTTTGCTTATCGTCTCCTTCCCAGTGCATTTCAATGATACTAAAAGCACCTTTCTCCCCTCAGCACGCACCTCTGAGACACTCTGTCAGCTCAGCTGACAGCAGTGGTTTCCTTTTTCTTTCTCTCTCAGCAGTGCGCAAAATGATGACTTGCTTATGACTGCTGCCTACTGACTTAGTGAAACACGGTAATTCCACCTGGAGTAGACGGGTCGCATTTCTACAGATTCGCTTCACACGATATTCAGCACAAGCTGCGTACAAATGCTGGGGTGAGAAACAAAACGAGCAGCAGGAGTAAGGGAGCACACCAGGCCGCAGACAGACTCACGTGGACCCTCATGTGCTATCGCTCTGTTCATCGGGAGTGACGAAGCTGTCTTAATTTTATGACGTACAGTTTGATTTTAGTGTCCATGAAATGAGGGCTGCTGCTAAATAAGGCCATCTGTCAGAGACAGATGCCAAAGAAAATGTCCTGTTCTATACAGGTAAATCCACCATCTATGATTGTCATGGGTGTGAAAGTTACATTTTACAAGAGGCATGCCTGTGCCTGTGATCCCAGCACTCTGGGAGGCAGAGGCAGGCGGCCAGCCTTGTCTACAAAGTGAGTCCAGGGCAGCCAAGACAGAGAAACCCTGTCTTGAAAAACGAACAAAAAATTACACAATTATGTTGTGTTTGTGTCCATATAGGTTAGAGAATTTATTGGTCTCTCCATCCTTGCAAGTTTCTACTTACTCAAGGCAGGCAACAATTTATGCCAGGCATGTAGTAAAGAATGCTAATCTCATCTATTTCGTATGCTATGTGCCTGTTAAGAGAATATGGAATTTGAGTTGATATATATTGGAAATGCAGGATTTTCATCATTATGTAACTATCAAACAAAGTATGAAATGTTCAGCTGATGGCTAACCCATGTTGATCTCACAATGTCTCACAAAGTCAGCCCTTTCTCTACCCCCCATGAAAACTCTTTGGTTTGGGAATATTACCTCACATATCACAAGACAGTCTCAAATTATCTAAAATAATAAATCTGGCCAACTGCTATGCCTTCATTTCATTCATTTTCCATACTACTATGCCTGACTAATCTTTCTAATATATACAGATTGCCACAATATTTTCAATTCCTGATAGCTAAACTTTTTGAAGCCTTCCTGATCATTGATAGCATAACTTTAATCCTTTGCGTAGTCCTCAATTGGCTGGTTACCATCTAATGATTGCCTGTGGAAGAACCTCCCCACCCCCCAACTCTCCAGACCCCTATATAGTGTTCAAAACATCAGCATCAAGTCACTACAGAGGAGTAAACTGGACCAAGGCAAAAGCTGTGGTGATTTCTAAAGCAGAATCCCATCTCAGCGGAGATGCAAAGTGCCCATAGAGTGCTTGACTGGCCCGAATGGAGAGTATAAGTGGACATGATAATGTTAGCGTAGACAAAAGCTACACACTGTAAGCATGTAGCTTTTAACATGCAGACACACAAACACACGTAAGCATCGAATTCTCCAGTGGCTAATGTGCAAGTCTTAACAGTCCTAAATTATTTTCACAACTTTTGAACCCTTTGGTTAGGGGGGAAATCTAAGTTTAACAACCCCAAACCAAACAACCCAAGAAAAATCTACTGAGGCCCTGACTTAAGATGCAAATAAGGGTCTCTCAAGAGAGGGAAAAATTTGTAACTCAGAAGGTGTGTTTTAATATTTTGACTCAGAAGGTTGACACACTTTCGCTTTATTTCACTCCTTCACTTTAGTGCTGGATCCCTCTTCATCCCTTCGGAGCTGTCGCCTGAGGAAGTCAGATCCCTCTGTGCTTCCACCTCAGTGGCCTCTTGCTCTTCAACAACTGTAACCCTAGAAAATCTGTCCTGCCAAGCACTGCTTGGAATGGTCCAGTCCGGTCCCTGTAGCTCTTTCCTGGATGGACAGTGCTCACTTACCAGCAAGGTCATGAGCTCCCTGGGTACCAGCTCTGTGATATTCTGTATCCTGCACATCTAGTCAGTTAAATGTGTACAGGAATGAGCAAATGACGTGCTTCCTAGCAACCTCTCTTCCCAGTCATTTCTAGATCCATCCAAAGGCAATCCTAGATATCTTTTCCATTTTTTTTAGAACCCCAGGCTAGCCTCAAACTCACTATGTTGCTGAGGAAGGCTTTGAACACCAGATCTTCCTGCCTCCGTGTCCTGAGCGCTAGCGTTAGAAAGCATGAGCCACTTTGCCCAGTTTTATGTGGTGCTAGGGGCTGAACCTGAGGCTATGTGCATGGTAGGCAGGCATCTGATCAGCCTAGTCATATTCCCAGACCTCAAGCCCCTTCTTTGTCTTAACAAGAAGCAAATGAAAGCAAGCAAGCAGCAAGCAAGAAACAAATCCTGTTTTTCTCAGTATATGTTCAATTTATGTCACCAGCTTCCATAACCACACATACAAGAGAAAACACGGCCACACTTGGGGGTTTGGGGTATAGTTTATGTGTCCTCAAGGTGACATCTGCATGCTTGTTTGACCACTATTTTGATCTTTCTGCTTCATGGTGCATTCACAATAATGATTCAGAAGATCAATTAACGTCAACTGAGCACTGAACGGACTCATTGACAAGAGCAGATGCCAGAGCCTTTGCAAGGTTATTAGTGAAGTCCTCTGTAGCTGCCAGGCGGGCGCTGTGGTGACGCACATGCTCCTGCGGCCCTGATCTGGCACCGGAAGCAGCATACGTATACTCAGCTTTTAGCGCTCTATGGTGCTGAGGTATGGGTAGCCGAGATACTGGCACTTCATCATAGGAGACTGAATACGGAAAAGACTGACAGGTCAGGTACAGAAAAAGACACAGCAATGAGAGTTCACACCTCGTTTTAGGGACTACGGGGGAATATTCAAGCAGGATTGGATCCACACGGAGAACCACTTACCCAGGATTTGTTGGCTCCTTCACTCTGATCCAAGGCACCAGAAAGTGAACAATATTTTATATAAACACCGAGTTCTCGAACAATAAAATCACATAACAGCATTGCATGCTCAAAGGAATCAAACTGAGTGCATTTAAGGACTGACTGAGAAAATCAGTCAGAGGAGGAAGTATGTGGTTTTCAAGAACTCTTATCAGAAACCTCAACTCTGAGGTATACAAGAGTGTGATTATTATTAGTGAGATAAAACACGACCTGTGCTAAACTATAAAAGTCTAGTCCAGGGAACGTAACAGGCAGAAAAGCCCATGAGTGTAAGTCAGAAAAGCAGTAAGTTCATAGTCGTTAGTAACTTTCACCAGATTAAGATACACGTAGGAAATATAGTGTGGAAGGCCTAGTAGACATGTTCTGTTTACCATTGGGGTGAATATATTCTAGGGTATTCCTTAAACATGGAAATTATGCATAAATGCTTGTATCATTTTTGTTTTCAAATCAGGAACTATCTGACAAGTGACAGCAGACATTAATTCAAGTAGTCAAAATAACAATTACATGTGCTCAGCAATTTCAGCTCACTTTCACTCTCACCTTGACATTTTTAGGGAAGAAAACTAATACAATTCGGTATTGACGCTGCAGTGTCTGGGGAGAGGGTTAGGGGAACATGCCACCCATCCCCAGCGCCGCAGGCCCACCCTCAGCCTCTGCCTCATCTGCTGGCCTTGCATGAGAAGATCCTGGGGCTTACCTGGGACAGTGACTGTCGGAGCCTGGCCATCTGTGTGCTGTGGCCTTTGTTGTGATCTTGCTCAGCCACCATCTGCTTCAGCTTCTCCTTCTCTATAGCTATGCTGTTAAATGCAGACTTCAGAAGGGAGTGCACTGAGTGGAAGAGAAATGAGAAACAGACACTAAACAAACAACGTAGGGCGCTGGCTTCTGTGGATACTAACTGCTATCTAGGCATTCTCCAGAAAGACCAGGTTATGGTCTAACTAAAAAAAAAAAAAAAAAAAATTAAGCCTTTAGGAAAAAAAAAAAAAAAGTAGCCTTAAGTGGAACCTAAGTATCTATACCCAAGACAAATATGGCAAGTGTAATTAATTAAAATGGAAATTTCTATATTTCATACCAGCTGAGCCAACACAGATCTGGAAGCAACATCCAAAATATCAATATCAATTTTAAACCTCAGTACTCAGAAATTAACTTGTATCTCTAGCAGGAAAGGGAAGTAGGTTTTGTTTGTCATGTTTTGTGATAATATTTAGAGCCATTCTGCTGAAGTGCAGAATTATCACAGTCATTTCCACAGAGCGCACACCTCCAAAAAAGAGCGATTTATGTCTTGTCAACATAAGGCAGGCAGCGGACCCAGAACTTCTGACTGGTTTCCTTCATGTGGAAAACGATTCGGCTTTAAAAACAGCCCTCGTCCTGCTTTCTCAGCACTGTCTCCATGTCAAGGGTGCTCTGATTGAAAGGCACCAAGAGAGGCAATACCTCTTCCTTCACTTCCTGCATAACCAACAACTTGTACTGGTAAAATATAAGACACAAATTCAACCACAAAAGGTTGAATTTACAACCCCTATTTTTCTATTAATGGCATTTCAAAGGCATGCGTAGTCTTCAGAAATAGGCATTCCCTTATTTGAAAAAGATTATTTTTAGAGCAATTATAATCCAGTTCAGAAGAGTGGCCTGAATTAAGGGTGGTGGTGAGCGGGTAAGGCGGAACTGGGGAGGCGCTCTCTTAGAGCTGAAACTGACAATTGTTTTTATTTCGCAGTTCTGCAATGGAGCCTTAGCCTGAGCAAGCAAGGCCATGTTCCCAGCCTCACAACCTATTAATTCATGTGCAATATTCCACCAGCCGAAAGGTAACAAGCTGGAATTAACCCTGCTTTTGACTTTCAAAGTGCCTCATAATGCCTGTCCAAAGAGTCTAGTCAAGGCACGAATCTGTCCATTTTGCCCCCCTTGTGTGGAGCATTTGGATATCTGCTGAAAACAAAACAAACACACAGAAACAACAATTAAAAAAAAACCCTTTACTGTCAACATAGGGTTTAAAACACTGATGAAGCTTGAGTTTCTTGGAAGCTTCAGGACTGTAACCGACCAACCACAGCTCCCTTGGGGTCCCATCAGGTTCTGTCCTAGGCTGCCTTCACATGTGTCCTCTCTCCCTGATGGCTGCCACCAGACCCACAAGCAAAAATACTCCCTAGGAATCTGAGCTGCACAGGACACCACTGGCTCTGGTCACAAAATTAGCATCCAGTTTAACAAAGCAGTGAAAAATGCATTCACAAGGAGTTAGGGATAGCATCAACAGACAAATTCATAAAAAAAATAATAAAATGATTTATTATTATTATTATTGTTTTAGGATAATGAAATGAAAATGGTGTCTGATTATGTTGTAAGTAGCTGCGGAGTGAAACTTAGAGAGCATCATAGCGGCAAGGGAGCCAATCAGAAGCTGAGATGCTTGTTAAAACCACAGTATCACCTTGCTGATAGTCTGACATTATACATTTCTGCTAAGTTTCCACCACCACCTTGCAGCACTCACCCGCTTCTTATTCTAACCAAGAAAGTTCTTCATTAGCATATTCACTGGACATGTTCCATTTACCCCACCGTTTCAAGAATATTTCCAAACTTATGCCCAGCAGCCTCAGGTGAACTATGTTACGACGACATGTGAAAGGAGCTGAGAAACGATATGAGGTGTGTCCCTCCCTCATGATCTTTCAAACGGCACTGCTTAAGGAGGTGCTGCCTTAAACCAAAAGGTGAACGCCATTTACTGCAAGCTGAATGGCATGTCAGAAGCAAGTGGGGATTCAAGGCTCCTTATGATCTACAGCAAGTCTATTTGTTATACCTTCTATGCTGTAGTTGATTAATTATATCAAATTTAACCCATTCTTACTGAAAACTTAATATACCCAAGACACTCAAGAGTGTGGTTGATGGGCTGGGGAGATGGCTCAAAAGTTAAGAGCACTGGCTGTTCTTCCAAAGGTCCTGAGTTCAATTCCCAGGAACCACTTGGTGGCTCGCAGCCATCTACAGTGAGATCTGGTGCCCTCTTTTGGTGTGCAGGCATACACACAGGCAGAATGCTGTATGAATAATAAATATTTTAAGGAAAAGTGTGTGGTTGACTTCACATTCTTCCAATCTGAGCTGGCTTTTGGCGCTCTGGAAAGCCCAGTGTAATGGGTTTGGTGCTTCAGCAGTTCAAGCACAAGGCCGGCAGCTTCCACTTCCCAGGGTCTCAGAGCCCTAAGTGCCACACATAGGAAGAACCATGTGGTTGTGAGCAGCCTTCCAGGAAAGTGAGAGAAGGCACTCTGCGTCTGCCAGCCCAGCATGCACTGAGCAAGCCGCATCAGCGACACAGGGCGGCTCTCAGCTGGGCCCAGTTGAAACACACAAGGGCGAAACTTGTTTGAAAAAGGAATGCATTTTCCTGGCAACAATTAAGTAAACACCTATTAGAAGAGAACTAAAAGACACTGAAATCAATGATGGCTTGCGGCAGTATCCGGCTGGGCCAGGAAACCCCTTCTTTGTTTTCCGGTCCCCTTCCTTTGCAACGGCAACGGCACGATACTCAGCCAGAACTGAAGGTTGTGAGACGCACTGTCTCAGTGGGCAGGGGCCCTGCAACCTGCCACATCTCGTATATTTACCGAACTCTAGTAACCACACAATAACCAGCTCATCCGCCATCACCACCCACACAAAGATAAAGTAATGACTCTTTCATCAGACTCTCAAAGAAAACACCTTGTTGTGTTACCTTTCTGTGCAATTAGACAAAATTCTTCCTGTAGCTTGGTATAATCCGTGGAACTTTCCAGAGGGTCGGTGAGGTGGCTTGGAGGGGTCTGAAACTCAATATCTGCACAGAGGTTGGGATTGGAAGAATGCAGCCGCACTGGAGACATGGTGGCGCTGAACGGAACCTGGAAGGGAGGTGTGAATCATCCAGGTGTCGCCACATCCGGGTCTAGCATCCCCTACACAGACAAGGCCCTCCCTAAACCTTACAGCCATCTCCTCCTCCCTGATGCCCTGCTCAGACACTCCCAGTCCTCACTGATCTAGCAGGCAGTGTGGGCTGGGGAGAGGGAGTCTTGTTTCTGATAGTTCAGGAATTTCCAGGGCTCCCGTTTTCGTGCTTACAAAGAAAAAAATGGCTATAGAATGAAGAAAAGCCCACACACATGTGAACCTTCACTTGTCTCCAAAAGTAACTGGCAGAAAAAAAAGCAACCTGAGCCTTGAAGTCATGGACCTGGTCTGACAGTCAGGATGCAACTGATGCTCAGTTCTCTTTGAGCCTGGGCAGGATCTTAATAAATGCATAAAACTATGCTTAGAGGACTCACTTGGGCTATAGTCACGGGGGCGGGGGGGATGAGTACATACACTAATGACTTAAAGAGGCTCCGACACTTCAAAATATACTTACTAGAATATATATTCACAGATGAAACATTTTGCCTTTGTGTATCACACATGACTCTGTTACATGGATGAGTGTGGCTTGTGAACCAGTGAACAGTGTTACGTGGAAAAGGTCTTATTCTTGTAGACCTTCCCCAATATGAAACTTCCCTGCCCAGACTGGATTGGGCTTGTGTGGGCGAAGGCTAAGCACTTTCTTGTCCTTAGAGGGGTCAACCGGAAGGTCACAAATGCAACTGGCTGATCATTCTTGGGAAATAGAAACACTATTCTTCCAGCAAGTCAACCGGTAACCTTTCTCTTAATCTTACCATACAGATGTTCACGCAGCTGCCCTGGGGAGCCATACCACAGACTCCACAAAAGTAGAATTTTCTACAACTGAAATGCTCGCTCTTTCTCCCTGACTGACTTGCATATTTCCATAGGAGGACGAAGGTGCGTGAGTGGGGGTGCGAGGGCATGTAAAACACTTTTTAAAATATTTTCTCTAGTTTAAATTTCATGGATTTGATAAGTAAGAGAAGACAGAAAAAAAATCTGGCCTATGGGCAACAACTACCTTACTATCTCAAAGGTCCTCTGAGGGACTGGCTGGTGTAGTTCAGGTCAGTTAGTGAGTAATCTATCTGGAGAGAGAGCAAAGGGAAGAAGATATGACTGAGGAAGAAAGACAGCATGAAATTTCCCCCACTAAGGCCAGCTAAGCTCAGCATGCTAACACAAGTTCTCCGAGGCATTCAGAGGTGTCAATGCCATTATCTTTTATGCTCACTCAGTAGGGACTATTAACTGGGAGATGTCAAGAGCTGCCTATCTTATCAGGCTCAGAACTTCCTCCTGTTCCAGATTTGAGACAGATAAGCAGTAGAGAACGAGTCATTTGGGAGGATGGAGTTCCCTTACTTGGAGGACTCTTCTCTGGGGTGCTTCTGTGACAACAGTGTCAGAGGACCGACGGGGACAGTAAGAGAAGCATGGGGTCTGTGTGGAAAATGACTAAAGGTAGACCAAGGAACACTAAGTGAAACAAATGCGAGTGTTTGGTGTTGGGAGATATCAGGGTCAAGGGGGTCAAGGGAAAGTCTCATTATCACTCAAGGACCATCACGGATTCAAGGTTTGAGCCGGCATAGGTGTCTGTTGTGAATGGGTGGGGAGGGGGCTACATCAGCCTGGGACCACTAGCAGAGGGGCCACTGTGCAAACCCACGGAGCCCAAGAAGGCCCCACATTTGTCCAAGACAACGGCCTCTCTAATAAATGCTGGAATTAAACGCTGAGAAGAAACACATAATTTACAAATTTATAATTTGACCATCATTGAATTTTCAAGTGATTCCTAAACCCGGAAGTGGCGTTATACAGGCTCCACGGGGAATGAACTCTGTGCTAATTGCAACCAGACTGTTTCCTGGGAAGATGAAAACTATTTTTATATACTTTCAAATGAATTAAAGTTATTATTATTTTGGTTAGGAGAAGGGTGTTGAATGGGTCACTTAATGGAGGAATTTGTAAAATAGAGAATATAAACCAGGATGTACTTCAGCCTGGGGACTCAGTTTTCATTCACTGACATTTGGACATCATCTAGATAGAAAACATCATAAGTGATAATTAGCTTCTTGGCAGTGATGGGTGGAGAGGGAGCTGACAACAGTTCCCCATGCTAGGAGCTGAGAATATCCAGTGCTGGATTTAGGCCTTTCTCCTCTGCTCAGGTCAGGAAAGAACCTCAAGTCTTCTTAGAAGCCCTATGACAGGCAGGAACCCAGGTTCTAGAACATTCTGATACCAGTAACTGCAGTGTGGAATGGAAATATTGCCCTTAAAACTCACCTATAGGGCTGGAGAGATGGCTCAGCCATTAAAGGCTAGGCTTACAACCAAAACTCACCTATAAATAAGGCAAGGGAAAAGTGAGTTTGTGAGGAAACTGCTGGTCCCCAAAAGTAGCAATGATTGCCAGGAAAGAAGGCACACCACTGCATCTAGTAACAGTGAGCTTAGAGGAGAGCCAGGGTGAAAAATCCCCGGTTCATATTCTGCAATTTGCATTCAAGGATACTTCTGAGGTACTGCTGGTTTGGGGGCCTTGTGTTTCCATAGTTGGGGCCAGTGTTTCTGTTTCCAGCTTGAAGCTTTGTGAGCTCTGGCTAATGGAGAAAGTTGGCCATTCTGAGTGCCAGTGTTAAGGCCCAACAAGAACAAACTTTGGAAACATCTCCTCAGGCAAACTTTTCTTTGGTACAAAAGTATTCACGCCAGATACCTGAGTGGAAAATGATAAAACTGACAAGGATTCTGTAAAGGGATTCTAGCAGGAGAGGGCAGGTTCAAATGTAGGGTAATGTCAGTGCTGGGAAGAGCAGGGACACCAAAAAAAATAGGGAGGCTGAGTCAGGCCCCTGGGGTGGCGATGTTCGTTAGGGGTCAGCGATGGATGTTGCTCAATGCCTCTTACGCACAGAGTCAAAGTACAGCTCCTAAAGAGGCCAGTGGCCACTCAGCACCAGTTAGTCCTATAATTATTTTAATGTTTATGGTACCTTTTCTTTTTTACTAGAATCATCTAAGTTAAATTTGTAATTTTTGTGGTCACAGCTATTTTAGGATATGGGTATTAATAATGCTTCTTGTTTTAAAAAGCCTTTTCCTCTGCTTCCGACTGAAGAAAATACAAACTTACTCTGTGCAAAGAAGTGCTAATCCTAACTTTATTATTTTCATTGTATTCAAAGCTTGAAAACCAAACCCAGCAAAAGTACAATCCCCCTCCTTGCATGTTATTGCTGGAGGCAGCGTTAGCATTTTCACAAGATGACTGGGTTTTGCTTTCCAGACTATGATATCGTAGCTTCTCTAAAGATCATCTGGATTTCTTCTTCACTTTGTTACTTTAGCTGGTTAGAGGTGGCTACTGTCAGCATCTGCGGCTGGACCAGCGGCAGAGACCCCATTCATGTGCATTTGAATATATCCACTGTGCCATAAGCACAATTTCAGTAATGACTTGGTTCAAATATCTGTAGAACTATGAATGTAGGAGTCAGTCCCCCAATTAATTCCAAGTCAGTGGTTGTTTCAATTATCAAAGTAATTCTGTCCTGTAGTCTACCTAAGCACTTACACATCACAGCAGAGCTGACCACCAGCGAGAAAGCCAAGAGCCCTAAAGCCAGGAGCTGCTCTACAGTGCAATCAAAAATGTTTCACTATTACTTTTAGAAATTCTCACTCTTTATTAAGTCAGAAAATAAGAAACAGACAAAAACTAACATCCACGATTACTATGAATTCGAGAATCTATTTTTGAAAGTGAACAAGATCTTGGGATGAATTAATATTATGACTTACTCTTATCCAGCCAACGGCGCTATGGTCAGGTGTTCTACCTCATATTGCATATGGACAGTCACGACTCTTTACCTTGTCCACCTATGTCCTTCTAGCTATTCTTCTGTCTCTTGAGGGTAAAAAATACCCTCTGCATTTAGATTAGACACCATCTTTCTATACAGCGATTTTCCTTGCTATGTGTTTGGGTAGCCAAGTAGAGATGACATCAAAATTCATCTTTTCTCATCCTCTCACGTCCTTCTCTAGCAGGCATACTGCTACACAAAATAAAAGCACAGCTAATTTCTGTAGTACTGGGACATTTCTTAGAAAAGCAAAAAGGAGTTAGCAAAGGTCCTGGTAGCAGTATGGAAAAGTTAAGTAAATAAAACACTATCATTTAAGGAAATTCTCCCATCTCAGAGCCTCATGGTCAGTTTCTCAAACTTGGCTAAACTTGAGTTTCAGACACTTCTCCCAATGGCAGTAAAAGAACAGGACTACAAACTGGCTCTCCTTTGTAAAAAAAAAAAAAAAAAAAAAAAAAACACCAAAAAAACAAAAACACAAACAAACAACAGAAAAACTCCATGTCCAATCCCTGCCATGCAAGGAGAGCCAGGGAACATTCAAAAGCGATGTCAGCCGGCCAGGCCACAGGTGGTCCACACCGGGGGAAGTCATCACATCAATCCCCGAGTGCACAGCCCCTCGTGTGAGATAGAAATCCACTCACTGTTGTAGCCACTGCTGCCGCTAGCCGCTGCCGGCGCCGGGTCGTGTTGAACTGGCCCTTCGCAGGTGGCCCTTCCTGACAGTGAACGGGAGAAGAAAAGGGGTAAAAACACAGGGTTGGGATGAAGAGAAGGGATTCATGGGGATGTGAAAGATAGTCAGACAGAGGAGGAGAGAATGTTTAACTGTAATTTACTTTTCTTAAAAAAAAAAAATCTTAGCATTGAAACAGGTCAAACGGACATTCATGCCACAAGGAATGTTCTTTATTCTCACTTCAGGACACCCAGACACTGAGTCCACTTCCTGAACACAATCCCAAAAGAAGAGGGAGAGCTATGAATTAACGAATTAACTAGGAGCCTGCCATTCTGAAGTAAACTGAATGTGCGCACGACTTTTAAAAAATGCAATGACACAATTGTATTAAGTCAAAAAACATCCAGTAATGAAGAAAACTTGCAGGCAAGCTCAGGGGGAAAATAATTATATAAAACATAAAGGCAAAAAATTCATATTCAGAGAAAAGAATAAGGGGAAGAGAAACAGGGTTCTTTAACCCCCAATTCAACCCCTAACCAAAAGACCTGCTGCTAGGGACTCAGTGTTAGGAAACTGATGGTATTTCCACTTGAAGAATTTCCCAAGGCAGAGGCCAGTCCTACTAGACTGGGGCCGAGGGGAGCTGGGGAGAGTGTGGGACAATGCCTAAACACGCCAGTTAGTAACTGAGAGTGCAGGTTTCACTTGGTGGCATGTACTAAGCACAAACCCGAAGAAGCCTAGAGGTAATGGCGTTTCCTTCTCATTCTTCAACACTACCTCAATGTTACAGACTCTGAGTCTTCAAGACGGGGAACAATAGTTTCATTTCCAGTTAGCCAAAGCTAAGTTTCTTAGGTTAGCCCAACAAATGACATTAAAAAACATCATGATTACTTTCGTCTGTATGGAATGACAAATGTTTTGATTTCTCACATCTCTGATTTTGTTTTACATTTTTCAAATTACTTTCACTTTTATAAATTTTTTGCATATGCATGCATGCATGTCAAACATAATCTATTTTCTACGAAGGTTTTCTGTACAAAATCTCCACACTTAATGTAATAAAAGGAAGAACTCATCTTCACATGTCAGGGACAAGGACAGCTTCATGTGAATCATGGGTAATTTTATAGGCCACTAGGAACTTCACCCTATCTACCTGATGCCTACAGTACCTAGGACCTTCATCTAATTTACTCTATTAATATGACAGGGCCCCAGTGCTTCTCTTCTATCGCACTTTTGGTTATACAGCAGTATTGACATTTTTATTAGAACCAGAAAAATCTGAAGTTTGGGAGACCTGGATGGCTATTTTCTCTAAAGATAATCCCCAAAAGAACCTTCAAGACAAAGACTGACTCCATAAGTTATGCAACAGATTTTTGAGAGTAACAATCCAATAGCATCTTGAACAAATGTAACCAAACAAGGCTAGCATTCAATTTCATCTTCAGGTAAGGTAAGCCAGGTACCCTAGGCAAGAATAAGTTCTCGGTATAGCACATCTTATTTTCTATTTCCTGGAACCAATCTAAAAAATAATTTATCTTACAATTCTTTTAAGATGACAACTACTACAGAATGATGGATCAAAGCAGAGTGACAGAGCATCAACAAAGATTGTGACCATCACCTAGTGACCACTGCCTCCCAGCCTGGCTCCTTCAGTGGCTAATGACCAAAGCTACAAACAGAAAATGAGTTGTCACGACCCAAGAATCTCTCAACATGGCTGAGAAAGTGGTCATCCTGGAGACGGAGATGACAATGAACTCAAAGAAATATTTGGCATTGTGGGATGGAAGCCTCATGATCAAAAAGCTTTGGAAATAGAAAGGAGAAACAGCCAGGGTGAGGAGATAGTTGCATCAGGAACCTTTAATCCACTATGGTAGAAATAAATGTTGTGCCTTTCTGTAGGCAAGACTGCCGAGCAAAGCTGTTCCTGCCGGAGCAGGTGAGCACAGTGAAGGGGCGCCAGTCCTGCTCTGGTTATGGACTTCTGCCGGCTCTCGGAAGGTCTGTTGCCTTAAGCAAGCAAATGTTCAAGGGGAATGACAGCAGCACTCCGGCCAACAACACACCCTGTAAGTCAGAGTGGAGGCAAAGGCTCTCTGGGAGTGACTGATAATAGCTCACTGCCATCCAAAGTCCATGTTTCCATGAAAACCACAACTGCTGCTCTGGAAAAAGGTAAAGTGGATGTGGGGATGAAGCAATCTCAGGTTCCTCACGTGAGTAAGACTCACAAGGGCCATCTGTGTCACTCCTTGGTCAAACAAAGCAAGAGCAGCACCAGTGAGAAATTCAAAGCAGCCACTCAGAGATTCGCCTGCTTTTGCGTCAATTTCTTCTGATGACTCATGATTTCTCTGCACACATACTAACCAGAGCTAGACTCTGTTTCCTCCCGGGTTAAGATGGACCGAGTGGCTTGTGGTGGGAGCCCTGGCCCCACAGACAGCCAGGGGTATCGCGCTCAGACTTGCTGCCAGTTCACTCAAGACAAGGGTGGCATGTGTTACAGAAACAGACTGAACTAGCCTCCATGACAAATGGGTATGTTCTGAGGCTGCTGGCCTTCTTCAATTCTTTTATTTAAAGAAAGGGTTCTTCTGGCTGCAAAAATGATTCTGCTTTCTTAGCCACAAGAACATAGATACAAGGCCAAAAAACAAACAAGACAAATCATAAGCTCAACCTGGGGAAATGAGTTTCGTGTGAAATCATTTGCATATTTTCCCTAACGCACTAATATTATGAACAGAATAGGAAACACACAAAAGTAGATTGCTCAAAGCAACACACAGAATTACATTCATGGGACGCAGACATTCTCAACAGAAACACTGACGCTTACTGCGTGTGAGAGTGTGTCGTGAATCGCAGTAAATTAGGAAGCACACCAGCAGTTTGTGACTGACACATTCAGAATCGCAATGCAAAGAATGTTATTCAAGCAGTCTGAATCAGGGAAGAATTACTTTTGTTAATTATTCAGAAGGAAGGAAAGAGCACTGAAGTAGATACTTTTACCTTTGCCTTAGGACCTTAACTCATTGACATTATAATTTTTAAAAATGAAATTGAAGTCTAATTTTAACTGTGCAGGTAAGCAATCATCTTACAGAGCTAAGGGAAGAATAGTGGAGGTTTTTGTCAAGATTTGGAAGAAATATGATTTCTTGCATGAGGGGTTTTAGTCATTCAGCATATTCTGCATCATTGAAATGCAATAAAGTAAGAGGATCATATTTTAAAATATACAACTATTCATTGTAATTAAAATTTTTATTTCAAGGAAATTAATCACGCACTGTGGAGATTTTTAGTTCCAATGTTAGGGTGATTGTTGTAGGCCGGACACCATTTACCTTTGTAATTATATAATTTCAGAGTTGAGACAGAATTCAGTGGTCATTCAATTAATTTGATAACTTGATAATTAATCTATAACTTGAGCAGGAGCAAATAAAGTCCAGAAAGTTTAGAACAAGTGCATAATTTATGAGGCCAGAGAACCACAGTGATCACTCTTATAGCTGGGGTGTTGATTTTTACTTTACAGCACCTCCTACACGGTCTTGATGAACATGTGGGCAAAGTTCACCCATAAAAAAGCGCCTTCCTCTACCGAGACTACATAAAGGAATGTACGTTACTGTCCACTGCCTTTCCAGATCTTAAAGTGGCTTTCTGCCTAAGTTTTACTGTTTCAAAGGTTATCACTGAGGATGGAAATATTACCATGTGGCCGAGTTGGATCATGCTTACCCTTCAAGGTTTTTTGCACTTGTGACTAATTAACTAAAACAAATAACTAGATTTTTAGATGACATGACTTTGCCTGCAAAGAATAGGCCATAAAGCAGTTAAGCTATTCTTCAGTCTCACACCAGGGGCTGATAGGGGACAGAAACAGAGACCAATGCTTTAAAAGTGAATGAAAATGTGAAGCAATAGGAAGCAAAAGCTGTACCTGCAGTTGTATTTTTGTATCTTTGCTGACACTTTTTGTTCTCCAGCGTCTTGTGACCCGCTTGTCTTTCTTTGAAATATCTACACAGTTAGCCTACATTACACAAATAGTTAAAAGCAACAAAGGATTATTAAGTTCACACAGATGGTAACACATACAAAGAGCCCAGAAAGTTAGTAGGAAATCATTAGAACCCCAAAGCAAACCAGCCAAGGGAGAAAGACATTCTACTAAAAGCCAAAACTGCTTCTGCAACTTACTCGTGAAAATTATATTTCTAGTGCGCAAAAATGAAAATAAGATTCGAGGCTGCGAGCCTTGCTTTCTACATTAAAAGATGGCCATACTTCAGAAAGTTCTAGATATTGAACTTCAGGGCCATCGCTGTTACTATAAAGGAGACACGAGAGAGTGACACAGATGTGTGCGGCTGCGTGGGTCTGCACAGATTTTTAAATGTAAAGCATTTGACACCAGACTTCAACAGCATTACAGACCGTTCCAGAGGGGCTGGAGACATGGCTTTTGTTCCCAGCACCCACACAGTGGCTCACACCCACCCACCATTACTCCTGTCCCGGGAGATCTGATGCCATCTTCTAGACTCCACAGCCGCTGTACACATATGGTGCACAGATACACGTGTAGGTAAAATACACATACACGTTAAATAAATAAATAGGTCCAGAATACAGACTGTGTATTGATATTGTTATGAATACAGTAATGTTAGCCCGACAGTAGTAATTTCCTTTTGAGTGTCACCTTGCCTATTCAAAGAGCCGGTCAGTAAAGGTTGCAAGTTAGGATCTTAAGTCACATGACCAGCAGCTGTGTCGTTTACCTGCATGTCGGTGAAGTTGGGCGCTGACTGGGTTCTCTGAAGTATCTCCAAGTTCTGTAATAGCTTGCTAAGTTCCACAAGGTTTGACTGACAGTGTGCAAGGTCTAAAGAGGACAAAAATGTTAGAATTGGGTAGAGATGGTGGTGGTAATAAGAAGGGGACTCTGTCCCTACCATGGAGATGTGATTGGATAGCCAGGTATATACGATGCTGAACTGCACAAGTAACATACAGCACACCTCGCTCTGGGTTAGAATCATGGGAGCTGCTGGTATCAAGAAAGTTTCAAGGCCCTTTCTCACTGACTATGACTCTGCGTGCAGATGCCAGGAACCTATCAAGCTGTGCGTGTGTTCACTTCCTGTCTTCACAGCTTTTGCCTCATGGACACAATGGGAACTCCAGCAGTCTTGTTCCCAGGGGCCTCTCTACTTTTTCCTCTAAAATGGTTTATAAGGAGGCTCCCTGGAATTTGGGTGGAGCCACAGTCAAGTTCAGAAAAACAGAACCGAGTAAAAATCACTTAAACACGTCTGCTCTCCACTCACTAATTATGTGGCAAGAAATGGTTCCTTTAAAAATCTATTATAGGCTTTTACTACCTGAAATTTATTCTCTATGGAAAAAAAATACGCTCTAAGAGCCAACCAATTTCCCCATAGATGGAAGGCCTGGATAAAAGTCCAGAAGAGCTAGCTACTGAACTGCTAAAACTATAAATCAGATATATAATGGGTTCCATAGAATGTTATGTCTTTTGAAATTCAACCAATGAAATAAATATGAAATATTCCCTTTTTAAAACCGAAACCTTTCTCAGTAGTGGATATGCTCTATGACAAATGATCAGTATCAATTTTTTTTTAAGTGCAGCAAGTGATTAGAAGAGAAGAGGGTGTTCATGGGGATTCACAAGAGAGACCCCACCACACTCCCACAGGGCCTGGAAGACTGACAGGGAAGTTTTAGCCCAACAGAAAGATGGAGAAGGGCAAGGAGGGCACTTCAGGTGGGAAAAACTACCTTCCCAGAGGCAAACTTACATACGTAAGTACATCCCGGTAAAAAGACCACAATTGCTTGAGTCTACAGAAGTAGGCAAGGCTGAAAGGGCAGGTAGGCCCAGAATGCTGACTACATGGGCTGCTCAATGCTGGGAAAAGTCCCTCAGAGCCGAGGAAGAGCCACTGGAGGGGCTCACACAGTGACTGTAAGGACTAGCAGGGCTAAGGCGGTGTCATGAGTGAACAAAGCACTGGTTTTGGGATTAGTCAGTGTGGGCCAGCTGGAATCCCACCCCTTCACCAGGGCAGCTCTGGAATGGTGGGCAAAGGTCTGAACCCGTGTAGATTTCATTGTCCTCATCCACAAATGCGGAGTGACTCATGTCATCAGCTTTGGGGTGTGGGGCTCCTTCTGCGCGCCCGTGAGGGCAGAAACTGACCTTCCGCACACCTGTCCATCTCTTCGGAGTCCTGCAGCCAGGCTGCCACTTTGCTCGGCCCTGTTGTGCAGGTTGCAGGGAGGCTGTTACTGTAGGGTAGAGGGGCCTGCCATGGGAAACTGTTGGGCTGGATCTGCAAGCAAGGACACAAAGCACACAAGTCACACAAGTGAGGGCTGAGTTCATGGACCGGCCGGCAGGACACTCCATCAATGCTGCCTCCATCGTCCATGGAAGACGGTGTTCAAAACAACAACAACAATAGGGTCAGGTGCAGTGACACACACCTGTAATCCCAGCACTCAGGGAGGCAGAGGAAGGAGGATCTCTGTGAGTTCTAGTCTACAAAGCGAGTCCAAGACAGCCAAGGCTACACAAACCCTTCTCAAAACCCAAATAATAATAACAACAACAACAACAATAATAACAACAGCCCATCCTCCTAAGGTCCCAAGAGCTCAGGTATGTAGTCAACTGAAATTACTCAGAAGGCGGTATTTGATCCAAGGTCCTCACTACAGTTTCCTTAGCTCATGGCTAAGGACTCTCCTCTGTGGAAGCTCTGTGTGCCTTAAGCATCAGATCAATATCTTGTCGCCTCCTGTGAGCCCTATCCACCAGCAAACAGCCTTATAATGCTTCGAAAACATTCTGAGGATTCTATAAGAGGCTTTCCTGTCAGGTTACCTGCCATTAAAAAGATTCTTATGTGAAATAAAGTTGAACAAAATATGTGAATACTAATGTGTATAGTAAACAGCAAAATAACAACAAATTTATATCCCGAGGAGCTGAAATGACCTTAAAACTTCCCATTTGACTCCAATACTCAGTTACAACTGATTATGTCTCTTCTGAATTACTAAGAAATGAATAATGCACAGTTAGCAAACCCAGTCTTATTTATTACCACACAGGACCATGAACCAATTAACATCAGCAGTCTCACAATTCAATATGTGGAAGGCAAGAAGAAGGACCAAAGGCTCTCTTTCGCATTTGGATAAATGTAATGGAAATCACCCAGCACATCTGAGCTCCGAGCTGTGCCACTTGCAACTGGAGAAATGGACCTTTTGTGGAAACCAGAGCTGGAGTTTTCTTATTCCAGAGAAAACAGTGGGGGAAGGATTTGGTTTCAGTCCACCAATCTCAGGTATCACCCAAGTTATTTAATAAGTAAGATGAGGGACAGCAATAATGCATCTTTTATCAATGTTCCCTGCCAAAGATACAGGCAGAAGCTGGGAAGACCAAAGAATTAAAAATGTATGTTTTCCTTTTAAAGGTCTATTTGAGACACAGTTCTCATTTAATTTGGACCACCACTGGGATTCAGTCTACCCTGTGAAGAAAACGCAGAAGACCCAGAGAAATATGGAGACTATATTGAGGACCTTTAAGTTCTTTTATTTTTATTTTTATTTTTATTTATTTATTTATTTATTTTTGACCTTTAAGTTCTTAAATCCCCAATCTCTCTGCCTCCTGGTTCATTCTCTTTTATCTCAGAATTGGTTGGTATTTCAGTCAAGCCCAATTCCTAGGGGAAAGGTAATTAAAGTCGTTAGCAGGAATGTGAGCACAATGAAGTCACAGGCTGGGGAGCCTTTGTGAAATGTATTTAACGGACCTTAACTTATACACTAGTGTAAGTATAGTATATCAAAAATCAAAAGCTGAGTATGGTAATACTCCAGTCAGCTGGATCTCTGCTGGGTCTGATGTTTCTCAGCGAAGTTCTCCCATGCTATGTAGAGAGGAAACTACGAAATCCAACTAGAGTGTAGACGCGTGAAGAGGCACAGAGGAGGCCAGATCTCCACTGACATGCTTTTGAACCTCCTCAGCTGTCTCCAACCTCAGTTTGGGGTACCAAGGATAGAGCTCCACACCCATGTGTGGCACCAACCACTTACCGGACCACACACGGAAACAGCTGCTTCCCTGCCTGTGGTCCTAACCTTGACTTTCAGACAACAAATACCTCCAGCTTTTCTGCAACAAAGACTACGCATCTTCCTACGTCCCAGGGAACTGCAGCCTCTCTTGGCCGGCACTTGGTTTAATGAAAGGAGGCGTTGATTTTGGAAACCGCTGCGTGGCCGGATCCTGGAATGTCTATGCCCCTTGTGTACATAACAAACGCCGTCTCTGATTAGACGCTTATGTGACAGATTAGAGATGAATGACTGTCACATGCCTAATGTACTTGCTCACTGAAACCGCACTGATACCACTGGCACCTCTCCAGCTGACTTGCATTGAGTCTAGGGGAAACTGAGTAGCCCCTCTCTGGGTCATGTATACATTAGAGCTCAAAGTAGGATAATAAGTTTCACTTTCAGAACTTTGCAGCCACTTCATTACCACCCAAGAATTCCCAGATGCTGATTAAACAAATGTTTGCTATATCTCCCAGTATTCCTGAAAAGCCACACAAAAATGATGCAACCCATTTACCATAAACAAAAATTGCTGGAAACTTTCTTAGAGATTCACACATCTGCTTTATCTTGGTTTGTGTTTAACACTAGTGCCAGCTTCACTTGTTTTCTGGATGTTCTCTCAAAAACTCAAATGTCTCTTTCTGGTGTTTCCAAAGGAGACACAATTATGTGTGTACATAAACCTCCAGGCTGATTTCTTACCGCACGGTCCTACCTTTCCATCCACAACAGAAACGTCAGCAGCTGGGGAGGACTCAGCCGTGGGAGTCGCAGGAAGTATGTGGAAGTTCGCATCTCTCGGTGATCTCACAATTTCATTCTGACGGTACAGCCTGTGATGCCGCAGTCTGGAGACCCACGCGTCAAACCAGTCCTGGGATTTCACCTGCAGCAGGGAGCAAGGGAAGACAGCTGTGGAAACTGCTTCCTGTCTGCCACTGGGGCAGGCAAATCACATCCCTGCTCCTGCCAGATGCTGAAAACAATTTCACCTTCAAATGATAGATGTGCTCCTCCGTGTCAAGGTCTATTCTCCGAGCTTTCTTCTTAATTGACATGACAGACAGTCCGACGTCTATGCTCCCGTGGACCTTCCCTTTTTGTATCTGAAATCAAAAGATTAGTGAACATGCTGGAAGGTTATATAGGTTCATGTGTTTCTGTTCAGAACTAAGGTGAGCTCAAGGTAAATTTTAAACCACATACGAAAAGTGGATGACTACATTCTTTTTAATTAAGAGAAAACAGTAAAACTCTAAGGACGGCTGGAACAGCCATGACTTCACCCCAATTCTAGCATGCAACACTGCTCATTTTACACCTATTTTGGGGACAACTAGTAATGTCAGATCTTCATAATTCCAGGTTGCTTAGCTTCTATCTCCTCAAGAAGGTGATGCCAAGGTTTCCCAAAATAACTGAAGTCAACTTTTGAATCGTGACCCGGAACATCCAGGAATCAGCTGGATGGCAGCTGCCAGGGCAGACTTGTGCAGCTGAGACCAGAGACCAAGGAGCAGCCAGCCCCTTCTTCTGGCTGTCCTTGGCCGATCAAGGACACAGCTATTTCCATGACAGAGGGGCAGACAAAACCAAGCCCAAGCCCTACACCACATGTAGGAAAGAAGAAACTTAAAGCAAAGATCATGGAACATATTTCAAAGTTCAAGAGAAAAAAAACCTTTTAGGATCTTCTCTCTAGGAGAGAAAGGATGATTTTATTAATGTGTCATTTTTAGGCTTACGCTTCTGCTTAAAAATATAGTTAAATATCCACACATCAGTTTGAGATTTTATGCTACCTTGGGTGTAAGTACAAAACACACCTTCTCTAGAGCAGGCAGAGTGGGCAGCCTGTTAAAGACCATAGGCACAGGGATGCAGAGAGCTGGTAACGGTGCCACAGAGCTTGTGCAGTTGCAGAGTTTACCCACTTCAAGCAGAATTCTAAACCACTCTGCGAGACAAGTCCCGCGAGCTACTTACATCAAGTGGAGCCTTTGAATACTTCAGCATTCCATTATCCAGGACAAAAAAGCGCTGCAAGAACCAAACACCCCTAGTTACTGTTTGTACTCTCAATTACACAAAACATTTGCCAGCGCAGGTGGCAAGTTGCTTGGCATTGAGCAGTCAACATGTTTGACTGATACACGGATTTAGGGCATCTGGCCGCCCTAGTCACAGGAAGTGATGTAAGCAGGTCAGAGTTCTAGTAGAGCACTTCTACACACAAGCTAGGATGGACTCTTTTCTCCAGGGTTCATCTTCACAAGACAGAGATCTAATGACCTGAAGCTTACACTTCATGAACAAATTGCACGAGGGCACTAGAAAAGTGAGAAAAAAAAAATACCCTGGGGAAGCTCGTGGAAATTCTGTAAAGATTTCTGTCCTATTCTGGAGGTAAGCGTTCACTCCGGAGCTAAACTCCTGAATTTCCCCTGGACCCCCACGGGCACTTTCCAAAAGTTCTCGTAGCCATTACAAATGCTGCTACACCGGATCATGACTAACACATTACCTATAGGCTTAAGTGACCTTGGCAATACGCGCATGTTTTCTCCTTGGCAATATGCCTGTGTTCTACTATTAACAAAACAGATAAAGTATTATTTCCAAGCTGCATTAAGAATTTTTTTTTAAAAAAGGGCCCCACCCCTACCTGACAGTTGATGGCTACCAGGGAAGGGAGAATCATTCTTTTTTCCTGGGGGATGTGGCTACGGGTGCTGCTCATGCTGCAGGAATGGCCCCAATGAATGCACATGAGCAATGCTCCGTGGGCCCGGTGAAACACCATACATTAAAACAGAAACGGATCTGAGGTTGGTAAGAGGGTGTGTTGAGGCGCTCCGGGGGAAACTGGGAAAGAAATGGGTGGATATGATCAAAATAGATCCTACACATGTATGAACTCTTAAAGAATAATTTTTTTAAAGGCTTTTTAAATGAAAGAACTAAAAAAGGGGGGGGGGGGCAACTGTCTGCCCTGAGGTCTTCCTGGCCCAGTCTGAGAGGATGTGCCAGTTTTTAACCACAAACACCCAAGAGCTCTCTAGTGTTGGTTTCCCTTCCGTGGGCCACTCCAAAAAAATCAAGCAGCCCCCAGGAGCTAGCCACACCTCAGGGCCTCTACTAGCTCTGCACATGCAGGAAGTCCTTCTGTTGCTGGAATTTACTCTGCCGGACCTGGACCGTTTTCCACCGGATGCATAAACTCATAGCTGCTGAGATGGCAGGATATCAGGTCCCAAAAGTCACCCTGCCTAGAACTTACAAAGGGCCACTGTGATCCCTTCATTTGGGAATTCTTGGGAACAACAGGTACCTGCCAGAATCAAAGAGTTCAACATTAAAAAACAAAAAACAAAAACAAAAACAAAAACAATTCAATTGCCTATAATTTGGGCATTCAAATGGGCTGGTACTTAATCAATACGTGCTTGTATTCGGGGGGAGGGAGGGGAGAGAAAGCATTGGGGGCTCCTCTCTCTCATTCCTTATGCAAAATATTCAAACACACAGTCCAGACGGAGTCCAGACGGAGTCCAGACGGAGTCCAGAAGGAGGTCAGCCCACAGCCATTTTGCTGAATCAGAAATCAGAGTGTTAAAACTGAACCAACCATTTTTCAAAAATGTGGTTTTGGCCTGTTTTCCCAATTTTAAGTTTCTATTAAAGAACTTTAGCCAGGAATAACTTACAAGATGTCGCAGGAAAGAGCTAAAATAAGGCTACTGCTGAGGAGGTAAACAAAAGGTGATGGAAGGCAGAGGCAGGCCTCGGAGGAATCACTCGCTGGACCAAACCCAAGTCTGAAGGATGGTGAATGGAGGAGGGGAGTCCTTGGCACTGGGGTGATATTACAGGCTGAGGGGAGACAGTTTCTGATCAGGCGAAGCTGTGTTAGATGGAAGCCCCTCTGGTTTCATTCTCTGGAGAAGGGTTGGGGCAGCATTTCCCATCTGTCCATTTCTTTTGGGAAGCTATGATCCATGCTCTCTGTGGTTGAGCCAGCAGCACTGACCAAGCCTTTGGTTAGCAAACCCGTCCACTCTGACACAAGACCCATCAGCAGAGGTGGTGAATGCATGAAGCTACAGAGATGTGGGCGTCACCAAGGGGTCTAACAAGGGCTCTCCTGAGAAAGCAAGAGGCCTTTCTCCTCTTCCGCCTCCACCTCTCCTCCCCTCCTCTACTCCTCTCTCCTCTCCATTCTGGGTTGTTTCTTTCCGCTTTGTCTTAGAGACAGGATCTCACAATCATAAACACAGTTGTTTGTGCCTAATAGCAAGTTGGACCTCTCTGATGATGCGCTCAGCCTCTATCTGCTGAGGACGTTACCTTGTGCCAGCCCTTTAAAGGCCATTTTCTTTTCTTCAGCATAAATCCCTCATGCCTGTCTGGTTTCTGGACATTGGTTTGGCCTATTTTCAGCCCTTCTATAATTTCCCAGCTGTCAGCTTCCTGAGAGAAAAGAAAAACAAATCATTTATTTTCTGTGCTTAATGATACACACTTAAGAAGATTCTTAGGCAGAAGCGTCACCTTTGTGCCACACACTATCCAACATTAGGCTGAGTGACATTCTGGAGCTAACTGGAGCATCAAGACAAGTCACGGACTTTCAAGTGAAGCTCCTCCGAGTTTCCCAGGTACACCCGGAGGCACGCAGACTCTTGAGAGGTGCGCTGGGGACACGCTGTTTGCTTGGCAGTAGAGAGGAATTTTGATTTCCTGCACTTGGAATGCTTAAAATGCTTCCCCCACCCCGACGATCCCAGGGTACAGTGGTGCTTTAAAGTCTTAAAATTAGACATCGATGACAAATGTTCAGTCAGTGTGTTGACCAGGCTTTCCGCGTACAAATGGAAAGGTTGCAGGGGTCTGATGCAGAACATAACCTGCTGTTAGCACAGAGCAGCCTTGCCATGGTCCTGTGTCCTCCCACCACAGCCCTGCGCATCTCCAAGTGTGCCGCAAAGCCTCACTCAATAGCACAAAGCAAGAAGTCCACGCTTTCAAGGAGGTACGTTCCCCACAGGGCTCACAGAAAGAGCAAAGTCACGAGGCTAAGAACAGAACTGGGTTCTGGACCATTGGTAAAGCATATGCTTAGGATATGCAAAGGCGCTATGTTCAATTTCTCCATCAGCAAGAATAAAACCCAAAAATAAACAAATAAAAAAAAGTGCCTTAGTTCTAGAGTTTCACTCTTACCCTGTTAGTTTCTTCCTTCATTTGACATGTTTTGTTCATATATGGTTCTAATTTTAAAAGAGTTATCAGCATTTACAAATCAGACGAGTTTTTCAACTTAAAAAATACAAATTTTCCGTTAGTTTATAAGCTCTTGGTGACCCTGAGCTTGTTCGGCACAGGCTGCTGGTTTGCAGTCTGCTGTGGTGGCCACCACAGCACTCCTCCTGGCAAATCTCCTTGGCTCTTACAGCAACCCAGGCTTGAAAACCCCACAACCAATGACTGCTGTGGGCTCAAATGATCTGCATCAGTGGGTCTCAGTCCCTTTGGGGCTGAACGGCCCTTTCACAGGGGTTGCCTGCCAGATACTACATTACGATTCATAACAGTAGCAAAATTATAGTTATGAAGTAGTAACAAACATTTTTATGGTTGGGGGTCACCACAACATGAGGAACTGTATCTAAGGGTCCCAGCATTAGGGAGGTTGAGGACCGCTGATCTAGGTGATCACAGATTTGGCAACATTCTGCCCATCCCTGATTCCAGAACTACCATGCATCCTTGTAATGGAGAAAAGCTTCTCACTTCCCTCACAAAACTTTTGTGCAGGGAGGGAAAACCCCATCCACGTAACCATCTCTGCAAGAAAACCCCTCAGCTTTGGAGGGGAGGACAGGCCACAGACCGGGACAGGCCCTCTCCACAGTGCCCCGCTCCCAGCTCACTGGGCAGTTGCATTCTGAAAAGACTTTCACTTAGCTCCCTAAGGAAGGGCAGAGTAAGAACGGTGAGAGCCCCGCATCCTGTGATAGACCCGAGCCTGCAAATGCGAGGCTCTAAATGTCTCTGGGAATGAGGTGCCATAGCAGGCACTGATGTGGGCCTTGGTGGGGGTGAAGAGGGTGGTAGTCACGTCTCTTTTCTCCCTTCCCCCACATCCTAAAAGCTGCTTGCCTTGGGGCCCAAGTCTAATCTGTGCTTGATGAAAATTATGTGTATCCAGGGTGGAATTTTCGCTTAAGTTTTATCACAGAGATGGTCCTGCTTCTCTGAGAAGCCTAAATCCATCACCAAGCCTGCATCTTACCTAAAACCCAACCCCACAGCTGCCTCACTCTACTTCAGGAAAGAGCCTGTAGGTATTGCCATTTTCTCACACCCACAGTCAGTGCCAAGGAATGAGCTACATAGCTTACAGAAACGACCTGTGTGCATCGACGGCAGCAATATGCATTCTTTCAAGCATAAGCAACAGCTCAAGATGTGGTTTTCTGCTTGAAGAAACTTCTGTTGGAAACTGTGACTGTTCCGAGCTGCATATGGTGGCACACGCCTTTGATCCCAGCACTTGGAAGGCAAAGGCAAGCAGATTTCTGTGAGTTCAAGGCCGGCCTGGTCTAGTTAGCGAGTTCCAGGCAGTATGGAACTACACAGTGAAAACCTGTCTCAAAACATCGCAACAACAGTTTAATTGACCCATTACTTAGATATAAAACTGTTCCTGAGGCGACAGCTTCCGGCATGTAGAATCATCATGGTTTCTGGCTGACGCAAGCACAGGTAGCACTGCCACATGACCCCAGGTAGCACACAGAAACTCTGGCATCTTTTCTTAATACCAGGTTGCAACTCAGGACCAGAGTCACACTTACGAGGGGTTTGAAGACCATACAAGAACACAGTAAGTTCTGACACAAACCATCAAGGGCCTCTGGCTTTCTGCTCTCATCAGAATAGTGACTACTCCTTAAAATGACGGATACAATTAAGAAATTGAAAAAGAGCAACTTCCCATCTGTGTGTAGATATAGTCACTGGACCCCTGCCTTTAGTGATATGGAAGTCGTGTTTAAAAATATTTCTATCTACATCATATTTGAAAGGGAAGTACCCCCTCCCCTGCCCCTCCTTTTTCCACGGGCCCCCCCCCCCCCCCTCCCCCTTCTTCCCCCCCCCCCCCTTCTCTCTTTCCTCTCTTGGATGAATCTCCATATGACATAAAATGGAAGCATTTAGTAACAGGTACACCTCTGCCCCTAACTAACTAAAGTCAGGGGTAACACAAACTCATCTCTTTGTAGCTACCACTACTTGTTTCTGTTAGAGTGGTTTTCTTTCCTTTTGCGGGGAGCTGAAATGGAGAGCAGGAAAGAGATAAGGTAGAAAAGGCAAACATTAAAGTCTGTTTCCTACATGAAATGTTGCAGCTCTGAACCTGCAATGCCATTTACTGAGACACAGTGCTCCCGAGTACAGCAAAAGAAACAGAGAAGAATCCTAATTCAGTGCTAACAATTAGAAGATCTGTCAAGCTGACAAAGAGGCAAAGGAGAAAAGCAGAGAAACAATAGCTCCACCTATTTCAATTATAAATGCTGATGGATGATAAGGTTGCCAATGAAATATGTAGGAAAGGAAACAACCCATCTCCACACGAGATAGAACCTTCCACATTGTTTTCCATGATGCTGAAATTCCTCCTTCTTGCTTAGCGAACTAGCGAGTACCAGTGAACTAGTACATCGTAAGAAAATTAAAATAGCTTCCTAAAAATTGAAGAGTGTGTATTTCCTGAAATTTCAGTTAGTGTTTATTTTCAGCTCAAGAGCCCTAAAGTGACCATGTCAGCACTTAACCAACATCAGTGCTCTTAACTGCTGAGCCACCTTCTAAGAGACAGATTAGTAATTCTTATAGTTTAATAATTCTTCCCTTTCCATGGACTAGAAATCAACTCCTGCCTGTTGAAATAAATTCTGTATCCTGGAATGCCTTCAAAGTATAAAAAGTGCAGGATAGTCTATGGGTGGAATGGGGTCGGGTGGGCATAGGTAAAAATGTTTCAGGAACTAAAAATATCAAAGAACCTGAATAACTCCTGAGCCATGGCAATGCCTTGTTCACGGTCCTCCTACTGCCCAGTACCCAGGAGGCCCGTGTTCTCTCAAAGGCTCTGAAGTGGTGAGCTGCGGTGGTCCTGGACGTGGTGGCAGTTCCTTTTGTGAGACCCCAAGATCTGTCCACATTTGCCAGAGCTGAAACAGAAGAAGGCCTACTAGTCCTACAGCAAGACTGAAACGGGAAGCACAGGGGCAGCGCATGCTGTCGGGAGTCCCAGCCAGTACCCTCTGCTGAGTCCCCAGACCTACGCCCCAGCTGCGGTGAGCCGGCAAGCTGGAGGCAGTGGATTAGACCTTGATGCTGGAATTATATAGAAAATGAGAAAATCAGTACGTGCTTTACCGATTTGGAGGCTGGTTGAGAGAACCTGTGACACAAGATAGTTCAGTAACTGTGGTAGCTTCTTGTTGCCTCGAATCTATTTACCTTTCCAGCTTTGTACTGGCTACAGAGGACGGATGTTTCAAAGAGATATGATAATTATATTTACCAGGTATGCGGTATCTATTTGATTGTGCAAGTGGAGGTCTGTCCTTTTTATTTCTAAGTTTTTTTTTAAGGTTCGTTTTTATTTTTAACTGTGGGTGTGCATGCCACTTACGTGCAGGTGTCCATAGTACCTAAAACTGACCTCTTGGAGCTGGAATGATAGGCAGTTGTCAGCTGCCAAATGTGGGTGCTGAGAACCGAGAATCTGGTCTTCTGCAAGAGCAGAAAACCCTCTTAACTGTTGAGCTCTCTCTCCAGCCCCCTCCCCAAATTATACTTATGGTTTAATAATTCTTTTCTTCTACACTTATCTGACAGAATAAATTCCGTCGCTTGTAACATCCTCCACGTATGAAGAGTACACATGTACATGATACTAGGGCAGGGTGGTAGCATGTTCTTTTCTCAAAAGCTTATGCTTCATACAGAAAAGCCAAGTGTCAGCCCAGCTGTACACACTTATAACTAACCATCTCTCGGTGATGAAGACGAATTTACGGAAATCTGAAATCTGCATGCCCTCTCTTTTCAGGGTTTTCCTATCAGGGCACAGCTCACTGAACCCCTGAACATGTCAGAGGGGTGGCGATGAGTAGGGGGTCTAGCTCCTCAAAGACCTTTTGCATTGTGGACATCAGTAACTTCAGATGCTTCCCAAGTCTGTGGGAGCAGAGGCTGAAGAGGAAGGAACTCCATCTTCCACAACACAGAGTTGTATTCGGTACTGTTCTCCCTGGAGTCACTGCTGAAAGGCAGACGCTCGACGGAGACCGGCAGTCACAATGCGTGATGGTGTAGGCATCACTGGACCGCACAGGTGAGGCAGAGATTGACAGCACAGGCCACAGAACTGAGCAAATCTGCTTTCTATTCCCCACTGCTACTCAAAAGAGCTTTTGTCTTGGAGAAAATTAACTCTGAATTTCCAGACTCATTAAATGTAATAAATACATACATGTCAAGCAACCGCTTATAAAAATGGTATTAAATGTGATGACGGAGTGAAGTATGTTGTATAGTAGTTAGTACGCAGGACACAGGCAATAAGACCACTGCTGGGCCTGGTGGAGTTATTCTCTCTCACTTTAATTTGTCGTAGGATTGTTTGCTCATCTCTTCAAGAAGAAATAACAATGTTTTTCTTTATCTTTTTTTCCCCCTTAAAATACTTTTAGACCTTCATATATAATCCTGAGAACCCAAGGAAAATTTACTTCTCTCTATTTTCCCCTTAGCCAAGGCAGAAAAAGAGCCTGTGCAGGAAGTAGAAAAGGCAGCAGAGGAGCCCCACAGTCGGCGTCATAGCTACGTTAGGAGAGTCAGGTGTCGGCGTTATTCATAGTTCATTTGGCCCAGAGCAGGCACGGGGCTAGCTGTGAGAGCAATCATGCTCAGGCACTGACCTTGGAGAGGGGGATGGGCTCCGGCTCCAGCAACTGCCTACTGACAGAGGGCTCTGTGCCTGAAGAAGCAGTTCTCTCCAAAACGTGGATACTCTGCAAAAAGAGCAGAATCCCAGCTAGGGTTAGAGCCCTGTTTCTCACATCAGTGACCACAGGGGTGGGGGTGGGGGTGGGGGTGAGATCTTAGCCAGCTGCCTAGGAGATGGCAAGTGCCCTTGAGGCCAACCACAGGAGCAGGGTTGAGGAAAACGCCTGCGCACTTTCCTTCTTGCAGACACACCGCTGAGCATCTTCCCAGTGCTGGACTCCACCCCACAGAGGGAGTCACAGGAGTGTATCTGGAAAAAACCCTTCAGGGCACACAAGATCACGAAGTATGGCTGACGATGGACAACAACTCACATACACCACCAAATCCCCTTCACTGGCCACAAATATGGTCAGAACCACCAAAGCTGACAGAGAAACTTGACTTTGCCAACCCTGCAGCATGAAAGCATGAGGGCAGGGCAGGAGCCATTGGCGCAGGGAAGGGAAGCCAGCTTCTCCAGTTTCCAAATCAAGACACACACAGAGAGATCAATTTGGCATAAAGTGTTAGTTCGGTGTCCACAGATAGCAGAGGACTGTTAAAATGTTGACTCGGATTTGAGGACCAGAAGGGTGAAACACCACGTGACCCTGCAACAGCAGCTAGAAAACAGCCTCCTGTGTGCTTGGCATGGGGAACGCGCATCAACTTCTTCTCTACTTGACTTTGAAAAAAAGAGCTTATTCATTTTGAATATTCACTATATGTAGGACGCAGTACACATCAAAATGAGTAAAAAAACATCTAAACCTCACATTTTGTTGATTTTTTCCCAGGCACAGGCCTTGGGAAACATTCACTGAAAAAATAGTAAGTCTTTTTACTAAAACACACACACAAACACACACATGCACATCCATACTGTCATCCATTTGCACATTATTAGAACCTGAACACCACTGTTTATCCTAGAATAAAATTAACCTAACTCAATACTCAGAACTGGATTCAAATTCACATTTTTTTTTAAAAGAACGAAAAGGATGTCCTTCAGGTTCACACTCACATGTGCTAATGATGATAAGCAAGAACCCTTGTATGGTATGTCTTTAGGATCAGCAGCTCTGGAAGTTCAGAGTTACTTAGCTACTCTCAGACTCTAGACTGTGCGCTTCCAGGAGTGAGGGCTGCTGCCTCTGCTCTTAGCATCATCATTTCATTCTCACTGCTCTCCACCCCACACAGCTCTGTAGTGGGTCAGTGTGTTTAGCAAGCATAAAAGCCTGGACTTGATTCCCAGTACCACAAAAGGGAGAAGAAAAAGGTTCTTAAAGAGAATTTCTTCGGTGTTTTCTGATTACTTTGTAGCCCTGTCACAGGGCTGAATGTTAAAAGACCTTCTAGGCCTCTCTCAGAACTGTAAAAAGTTAGAACTCTAATATAACAGAACATCTGAAAACATTTAATGGATTTAACTTTTAACCTCCCATCTCGTTTACTGGATTGAAAGCCTCTGGTCAGCTGGGAAACGTCAAATTTGTCCTGAAATCTGCAGTTACGAATTTAGATCTTTTCATATGATTTCTTCTAAGATCATTACTTTTGCTATAACTGACTCCTCTTTTCACAAGTTCACTGTTCTCATCTTCTCTCATGATGGCTGGGAAACACACACTACAATGAAGGTGCTAAGCGTGTTATATAAGCAACACAAATAGAGGGTTATGTAAACACACTCAGCATTCTTAAAAAAAAAAAAAAAGCTTCCTCTCAAATCCTAAAATTACAATTTCATTTCCAGGTCCAGTGTGTGTGTGTGTGTGAGAGAGAGAGACAGAGACAGAGAGACAGAGAGAGACAGAGAGCATGGATCCAAGTACTGACCCAAGGCCTCGTGAACCTGAGGACAGGCCCTAACCTCTAAGCATCACCTGGCCTCTCCAGGCACTTAGGACAGAGGTGGGAGTGCTTACCCTTCCCCGGCTCTCCCTGCTTGAAGGGAGCTGATGCAGAAGGAGCTCAGGTCAAGAATCTTGAACACAACCTTCCCTGCAGCGCCTCAGCTTTCTGAGTCTGCTCTAGACCTGTGCTCTAGAGTTCACAGGTCTCAATACCTCCTGGGCAGCAAGAGGAAATCTGCCCACATGAGTGTCCTTTGCTTTCCTCAGTGTCAGTAAACAGACGATGAGACTCAGCATGAGAGCTGAACAGCTCAGGACAACTCACCCGGAGCAAAGCAAGACTCTAAGGGTCTGCTAACACGGCTTCTTGTCAGTTCCACCTCAAAGATATATAAGCAACTGCTGGGAATCATTTAGGCTGTGGCTACAAATTCCTCACAAAAATAGACTCACTTCTCACCCAAGTTTTGGGCACCAGTTTTGGGCCACTGCTTTCTGAATGTTAATGCCACGGAATGGCTCACCTGGCTATTTGCTCTTATTTGTTTCTCTTTTTCTGTGGAACCACTGCCTAAAAGCAACGTGGGGAGTATAGGATCTATTTGGCTTATACATCCATGTCGCAGGAACCTAAAGGCAGGAACTGAGACAGAGACCATGGAATGATGCTGCTTACTGGCTTGCTCTCCGTGGACTGCTTAGTTTGCTTTCCAATGCACCCCAGGATCAGCTGCCCATGAGGTGGCCTGAGCCCTCTTACATAAAATAGCAATTAATCAAACACCCCACAGACACGCCCACAGGCCAATCTGATGGAGGCAGCTCCTCAACTGAGGTTCCTTCTTCACAGATTACCTAGTTTATATCAAGTTGACAAAAACTATCACCCTACTATCTTCCCTGTCTTGTGGTGTGTGTGTGTGTGTGTGTGTGTGTGTGTGTGTGTGTGTGTGTGTGT